TTTTTCACGGCATACAATGAAAGAATTGTATGCTGTGAACCAGGTGCTGGCAAGACAACTATTATCTACCATCAGATACTAGTGTCACAGAAACCACATGGTGGGTTGCAACATGACCTGTGCTGGGATACAAACACGCAATCACATAATAATCATTTTTAGTCTGAGATCAAACCATTTGGTAAGAGGCTATGTGTGGTGAAGGATACACAATTGACACTTTCATATGTGGATTGATTTCTGTCACAGCACTTATTTGGACTAATTTATCAAGCACTTTATTATGTGGACTTTGGTTTGCAAACATGTCCTTTGTTTCATTTAACTAAGATTTTTCTGTCCGGTTTTATATTTTTTGCACAAGTGCACTTTCTGTGATTTATTTTAAGCAATTATTGGAAGTACTTCATATTTATAATTATAGGTGAATTTTGGTTATTTGAGTAGCACACCATATCTTTGGATTATTATGTCAGTGTTCAGGCTATTTTGGTTGCAGCACCCTTCATGATACACTTTGCAATATGAATCCACTAAGCGCAGGGTACACTTTAATTTTTTTGATCTGTGTGTCCATTGACACACACAGCATGGCTCAAACCCGTCCTCCGCTCTCTGCTCACTGGATTTGATGGACATGCCTCTATGTCCTGTGAGAGAGGGAAGACAGGAGAGAGCCCCTGCTAATGGGCACAGCGTTGGAGGAGTGAGGATTTGGGTAAATATTTGGGGGGATAAGGGGGCAAAAAGGATGGTGGAACATTTTTTACCTTAATGCAGGAAATGTATTAGGGTAAAAATGTTTTCCCTTTAGTACCAATTTAACTGAATAAATTATTTCACTTATTAACATCTTTTACTCAAGAGTTATGAAGGCCAGAAGTCATCAATCTTTAGTTAGGTTTTGCTGGAGTAAGCATGTGTTAATTATTAATAAATTACTAATAAATAACCTGTGCTGTCCTGCCCATCCAAAACTGATATTTAGTTAAAGGTAGAACCTGATGTGCAGAGTTAACTCTTGACTTCCTAAACGGTATGTCTTGGATATTTCAAGAGCATGACCTACCTGCTATGGTTTGTGACTCTCTGTACACCTTAGAATATTGGATGTTTCTGCATACATTTGTCTAATTCAGCATTTTTCATAAGATAAAATAAAGGATCCAACAGGGAGAATGAGACCCCCTCCTAATGGCCACACAGCAGGTGTGCAGATCCAGGAATTAAACATAGAATTCTCACCAATTCCCTGAGAAATATACAAAGCCAGTATGTGGCCTAAATCTCCAGCATCATCAAAACCTGAAATATCCATCCTGGCTTCAGATCAACAGTGACTGCAGGACTCATCAGCCTGTCCTATTCTTTGGATTTACTATTTATTTTACTTGGCCAGGTTTTTCAACTTCTGCACTCTGGAAGTCTCATGTTTGTAATAAAAAGTATAGAAGATCTAGATCACACAGCTGAATATCTGATGGTGTAATACAGCCAAGACCTGGTTCACACCTATGCGCTTTTATGTGAGTTTTGAAGTGCATAAAAACACATGTATCATAAAAATACATGGTTTCCAAGGAGACCGTTTACATGTGTGTGCTGCATTGAGTGGTGTTGTAAAAGATGGGGTATGTCTGATATTCTATTAATTTACCTACATTTTCTGGGCCAATTAAAGTCTATGGAAGTGCATAAAAATGCGTGAAAAAATGCACTAAAAAAGCACCATAAAGAACATTAAAAAAACGCAAGTAAAAATGCATGACATCAAAAGCAGAAACATATATTTGGTCCTTCAGGAATTATTGGAGCACAGTCATTTGTCTGCTCCTTCTCATATCATAAAATGCAAAAAAGTAGTTTTATATTATATAAGTCTATTATTTAGTATTTGTGTTCTGTGCTTGCCAGGCTCTGGGACATGAACATCTATATACCCTTGGAAATCTATGACCATCATTACAGATGATATAAACAGTGCTCCCACATCTCTAATAAATGCATTGTCCCAACCTCATTGTGAAGCAAACATACTCTGCTTGTAAACGGGTTGCTAGTTAGGCACTGCCCCCCAGACGGGAGAATTTGGGTAAATGTTTTTCTCGGGTCTTTGGCTTGGTGGGTGATATATAAGAGGGACAGTGGTCCAGAGCAAGGAGAGAGAGAGAGAGGAAGTCAAGCAGGACCTAATCTTTGAGCCCAGACGATGTGGAGAGAAAGCCTAAAGCCAACTTCTGAGAGTCTGTGACAATGTAAGATGTGATCAGGACCTGGGGTTCGCCTTGAAGACACCAGCTACTGGGGAATGCCACTGATGGACCTTTAGAATATGGATTCTGCCTTTGCAGGTATCCCGGGGCAGCACATAATCTGAGTTTTGTATGAGCACACAGGAAAAGGACTGTCTTGTCTATTGGACGTTGTAATGTTTTTGGCACTTTAATGTTGGGTAAAACATTGAAACTTTGCCTTCTGCTTGTTCTAAATAATTTAAAGGAGTGCAATGCAAGTAATTGTCACATTTCTACAGCTTTGGGTCACTAGCATATTGGGGTATGAAGAGATAGCACTTAAGAGTCATTCTTGTGCAGTACAAGTGGTTACCAGGGGTAACTAAAGTCTACAGTTGTCTACAGTCTACCTGTCGGTAGTGTGTACCTGTTATAGGTGGACCAGCCTCTAGCAGCGAGGAAGAGGTTGTTGGCACTCCGCCACGGTCTGCCTCCCATGGCAACGGGAGTGGACTCTTACCACAGAGGCCACCATCTTATACAGGAGATATGGAAGCTCAAGAGTCAAGTCAAATGTATATGTGGAGCCCATGCTAGGTGTAAAGTAGTGGAAAACGCTGGACAGATGGTTGTGGACAAGGCTCAGCGTTTCCCTCCTAATTGCAAGTTTCAGTGGGAAGATCTACATTTACAAGGGGACCCGAGAGTTAACTGGAGAACAGTTATGGTGTAAATGTGCATGGTGTACATTCATCTCTAAAAGTGGAGGTAGAGTATTCCCCTATATCGGCCTCAGCTTTGTCCCAGGACATTGGTGAAAATGGCACAAGAGTAAAGGTACCCCAAAAGTGTGAAGTAGAGTGATCCTGTTATACAGTGCATCCAGAAAGTATTCACAGCGCTTATCTTTTACCACATTTTGTTATGTTAGTCTTATTCCAAAATGGATTCATTTAATTTTTTTCCTCAACATTCCACAAACAATACCCCATAATAACAACGTGAAAGAAGTTCGTTTTGAATCTCTGCAATTTATTAGAAAAAAACAAAACAAAAAAAAACCACATGTACCTAAGTATTTACAGCCTTTTCTCAATACTTTGTTGAAGCACCTTTAGCACCAATTACAGCCTCAAGTCGTTTTGAGTATGATGCTACAAGCTTGGCACATCTATTTTTGGGCAATTTCTCCCATTCTTCTTTGCAGTACCTCTCAAGCTCCATCAGGCTGGATGGGGAGCGTCGGTGCACAGCCATTTTCAGATCTCTCCAGAGATGTTCAATTGGGTTCAAGTCTGGCCTCTGGCTGGGCCACTCCAAGAGATTCACAGACTTGGCCCATAGCCACTCCTTACTTATGTGGGCTGTGTGCTTAGGGTTGTTGTCCTGTTGAAAGGTGAACAGTTGCCCCAGTCTACGGTCCAGAGCGCTCTGGAACAGGTTTCATTAAGAATGTCTCTGTACATTGCTGCATTAATTTTTCCTTCGATCCTGACTAGTCTCCCAGTTCCTGCCACTGAAAAACATCCCCCCAGGATGATTCTGCGACCACCATGCTTCACTGCAGGGATGGTATTGGCCAGGTGGTGAGCGGTGCCTGGTTTCCTCCAGACATGACGCTTGGCATTCAGGCCAAAAAGTTCAGTCTTTGTTTCATCAAACCAGAGTTTTGTTTCTCATGGTCTGAGAGTCCCCCAGGTGCCTTTTGGCAAACTCCAGGTGGGCAGCCATTTGCCTTTTACTGAGGAGTGGCTTCTGTCTGGCCACTCTACCCTACAGGTCTGATTGGTGGAATGCTACAGAGATGGTTGTTCTTCTGCAAGGTTCTCCTCTCTCCACAGAGAAATGCTGGAGCTCTTTCAGAGTGACCATCAGGTGCTTGGTTACCTCCCTGGCTAAGGCCCTTCTCCCTCAATCGCTCATTTTGGCAGAATTGCCTGCTCTAGTTAGATTCCTAGTGGTTCCAAACTTCTTACATTTACGGATGATGGAGGCCACTGTGGTCATTGGGACCTTCAATGCTGCAAAAATTTTTCTGTACCCTTCCCCAGATCTGTGCCTTGATGCAATCGTGTCTCGGAGGTCTACAGACAATTCCTTGGACTTCATGGCTTGGTTTGTGCTCTGACATGCACTGTTAACTGTGGGACCTTATATAGACAGGTTTATGCCTTTCCTAATCATGTCCAATTAACTGAATTTCCCACAGGTGGAGTCCAATCAAGTTGTGGAAACATCTCAAGGATGATTAGTGGGAACAAGATGCACCAGAGCTCAATTTTGAGTGTCATGGCAAAGGCTGTGAATACTTGTAATAATGTACATGTGTTTTTTTTTTTTTTTCGTTTTTTTTTTTAATAAAGTGCAAAGATTTCAAAACAAACTTCTTTCACGTTGTCATTATGGGGTATTGTTTGTAGAATGTTGAGGAACAAAATTAATTTAATCCACTTTGGAATAAGGCTGTAACATAACAAAATGTGGAAAAAGTTAAGAGCTGTGAATACTTTCTGGATGCACTGTAGGTACCTAGTGCAACCTGGAAGAACCCACCCCAGGGGTAGTCCTCTCATGTATCCCACACTTGGTATGGGTTATTGGGGAACATAGAGGAAGATCTGTCATCAGCTACCCCGTGCCCTGCCGACATGTTAGTGGAACCTATTCAGTTAAATCCAATAGTACCTGTCATGATGGTTCCTTTATTATATATACAGAACATATTTCTACAGAATATATAAAAATATATGCTATATATATTTTTACCTTCTGTTCCATTCATGAACTCAGCAAAACATTCACTTGCTTGGAGAAAGGAAAATGCTTGTTCAAAGTCTGAAGATAAAAGTAAGTAGAAGGTCAACAGGAGTTATTTGAGACCCAAAACAGGTTAACATTTTGATTTGTTAAAGCCCGACTCTGGGCACAAAAAAATAAATAAAATACCCTTGTAGCGGGCTCCTCTGAGCTGCAAGGGTTAAATGCTTGTTCAATCAAGAAGAGGCTTCATTACTTACCAGTCTCCCTAATCCAGTACTCTCCTTTTCTTCTCAAAGCTCTGGGCTGAGGGCAGTCAGTTTGAATCATCATGTACAATGCAGGCCTATTTTATGAAATTATTGTACAGGATTTATATAGCGCCAACCATTTACGTAGCGCTTTACAATATAAAGGGGGACAGTACAATTACAATACAGTTCAATACAGAAGGAATAGGAGGGCCCTGCTCATGGAGCTTACAATCTGTACACTATTGTACATGGTGGGGGCAGGCATGCAATCAGGGCCAACAGCAGCTTAGAGAGAGGGCCGCAGGGTGGACCCGGTCGCACCGCTGGTGGAACCCTGCTGAAGCGAGGAAAAAGCCTTTCCTGCAATGAGTATTTAACCCTTGCAATGTGGGAGAGTCCACAAAGGTTTTTTTTTTTTTCCTCTTTTTTTCCGTGTCCGGAGTAGGGCTTTAGTTTTTTTGTAGTCAGAGAGTAGGGAAGTAAGGAATACCTCCTTATGGCTTCATAAAGACTCAAAGTGTAGTGCATACTACTTTTATGGACCCGACCAGGCCATATGTGCCATGAATACAATAAATATATTTAGTAAAAAAAAAAAACTGAATAATACACCCATTTAATTTCCTTGTAACCAGGACAAACAATAGAGAAATAAAATGTTGAGAAGGATTCAGCATTTTATATTGGGAATTGAAAAAAAGGGTTTAATTTTTACAATTTATTTTGAAGTCGAACAATAAAAGACACAAATTAATGCAGCTCTGTATGCATTAATATAGCATCAAAAGGTAATATTTTTAACAGTGTAAGTACGTACATTTCTATTGGTGTGCTGCAGTACTCACGTGCCTAACAAAAAAATAAAATGCTGATAGGAGAAAAGAACATAATGATGGAAAGATAAGCTCAGCAGTGTGCCACAGAAGCGTAACTATAAATGTTGCAGAATCACAAATCGTGACCCGGCCCTATTCTCCAGGGGTCCCCAGCGGTTCCCCTATCACATTTAGTTCTACATCTGGATAGGACTTTGTTTACTATGCTTCAGTTTGTGAATGTATGGGAAGCTCTGTACACAGCTACTTCTGTCCAATCATTCTGTGCAGCTGAGGCTGCAGAGATTGAGATTGAGGGTAATGTCCTCAACCTCCTTTTTCTGTCTCAAAAGTGAAACATCAAAGGTCATTGGGATGTCCTCAGCAGGGCTCCTAAAAAAAATTGTAAAAAAAAAACAAAATTGTAAAGTAAAAATAAAATAAAAACCCCAAAAAACTACCTTGTCCACTGTCCTACTGATACCATTTACTGCATTACTGACAAAGTCCACTACCATACTGACACCATCCACTGCTCTACTGACAGGCACCATTCACAGTTATACTGACACCAGTGGCAGAACTACCAGTATCGGAAAGGTCAAACTTGCTACCAGGAACAATAGGGTCCAGTAGCGAGTGCAACGTTTGCGACCCTGGTAGTTTTGCCATCGTGGAAGACCCCCCCCAAAACAGCAGGAAGGGGGCCCACTGCAGAAAATGTGAAAGAATCCCACTGTGGAACCATAATAAAGGGTCTTGCAATGGGAGTAAAGGGCCCCAGGATTAATGGAAAGGGACCCGGGATCAGTGGGATGGGCCCCAGCTGGGGGTCGGGGGGCCCTTCATGTTTACTTGCACAAGGGGGTCCTGAAGGTTCTAATTGCGCCTCTGGTGTCTCACTTTTCCTTTTTCTGTAGTGTCGCAGGATGATGGTAAGGTGGAGACTTGTAAGTGAAACTGCAGCAATTTTCAGGTCCCCTTTCAGACAGACATGTGCTGCGTGGTACAGCTATATAAATCTCAAAACTGGATAGACAGAAATGCAACTCCTTTGACATATTAAACAGCTCCTTTATATGTATTTCATTTGTGTATTAGGCTATTTGCCTTGAGTTCAGCTTTAACGCAAGTTATTAAAGTGTTACTAAACCCAGGACCCTGCATTTGCTATATCTGGTCTCCCACAGTACACAGAACATGGACATGCAATTATTTTAGTAAATATAAACTGAAAAATACCTTTTCTCATCAGCAGTTAGAGCAGTCTTGTGACTTCTATCAGTGTCCAGCAGAGCACTGGTTAAAGCTTGTAAGAGTTTTCATTTCTCCCGATTGTCCTATGAGTCTGCAGGACCCCTGACCCTCTGTCTGAACAGTGCTGATTGGCCCTGTGCTGATGACATGCACTCTCCCAAGGAAAAAAACCTCTCTAGTAACACACCAAACTGAGCATGTGCAGCTTGCCCCCAAGACTCTGTTCTATCAGGAAATGATTTGAGGACAGTAGAAGTAGAAGATTAGAGAAGATAAAATCAAACCTCTTTTACACAATGTGGAGGATTAACCCCTTAGGTTCCACAGTGAGTATAACAAGCGTGCTTTACTGCATATACAGACTGACTGTACTGTTCTGGATTTAGTAACACTTTAAAAGAAAGACAAATATAGCCTCTGAAAAATTTTAGTTTAAATGGACAGAAAAGTTAAAGTAGAATTAAAGGCAATTATTTTTTTTCCATTTTGGAAAGAGTGAGGGGGGTTATAACCAGTGTCAGTTTTTTCTCCCATCTGTGTCTCACTGGAGAGATTTCCCTTCACATTCTGTCCCACAGCCAAACAGGAAGTGAGAGGAAATCCCTCCAAAGTGTGGGAATCCCTTGTCACCAACACTAGTGTCTCCAATGGAAATTTTCCCTCTACTACTTTTCTGGAGACAACTCAAAAATTGGATTTCTTTCATTTACTTTTACTTTGGATTATAACAGTAAATACGACAATTAGAGAGGGGGAATCTCCCTAACGGGGCCATAGAAAGCAGTAAAAACCTGACAGTTGTTCTAATCCCTCTCCACTTTATCCAAAACTTAAAAAGAAAAAAGTTTTTCCTTCAGTCTTACTTTAACATTACTGTTTAATATTTGAATCTATATTGTTCATAATTAATAGCAGCAATAATACCTCTGTCCTTGGGCTGTTCGTGAACAATCTTGTGAAAGACCGATTTCATGTAACATGTTACCAGGGTTAGCAAGAATTCTCTGCATTTGTTCTCTCGGCACAAATCCCAGAAAGCTTGAGCTGCTATAAACATATTCAAAATGATTAGACTTTTTAAAAAGGAAAACAATGAATGAGAAGACAACGTGCACTATGCAAGTTCAGGAATCCTATGCCACCAATCAGAAATGATCTTACAAAGTAATATAACTTGCCCAAATCTGAGCAAAGCTAAAATGTGATCCAACATCCAAAGAATATAATATTTCTCTCTGGTGTGAACTGTGTTTGTAATCTACAATTAAATCTGTTTATGGGTTTACTATGAAAAGTTCCACCAAATGGTCTTTGGCATTCTTTTTTTTATAAAAACTGACTTTTTATTGATTTTCTAGATAAGTGCATAAGCCCTGGTTCACACCAGTCCGGCTTTTAAGTCGTGCTATGTCGCGTGATTTCAAAGCCAACGATCAGTGTGATTTTAATGTGCAGTTTCATTGCGGCTTCATTAACAGATATTAATGCAAGTCGCAATCAAATTGCACAAAAACTGTGCACAATGGAACCGTTCAAATCATTTCAAATGAGGTGTGACTTGTCATGTGATTTTGAACTGTCAAATCGCATAGGTGTGAACCAGGGCTAAGTGTCAGGTATACAAGCCAAATATTGTAGATTGCTTCAAAAGCAGCAGATCATAGTTTAAGCAAGAGCATATATGTCATGTGCACAGTTAGCCTGCTGCATACTGCTGCCTAAAAACACATCCTTTTTGTATATAGGCATTTTCTTCTACTGAAATAAATGCAGACCATGGTTTGTAAGCAGTTCTGGGGTTTGGTACCACTGAAAAAGTATTTTGTATTGGTTTTTCAGAAGTATTTCCTCCACTAGAATCTGTTCTAATTTTTTATATATAAATGTTTGACTGTGGATTGGAGGAGAAGTGAGGTCAGCACTTTGTAGATATTATAGATTAGGCCTTTCCTCAAAAGGCCTGCTAGACAAAATTCTGCAAATGTGTGTCCGTTTAGGAAATTATAGGGTATTCGCTAAAGAATTAGGCATTGATTTACTAAAGGCAAATGGACTGTACCCTCTGGTAGTGTAGTTGCTGCACTGCTTAGTAAATGAGGGGAAGCTCCGCTGACTTCCATCATCCAGTCATATGCAAGCAAAAATGTTTTTTTTGTGGTTTTTTTTAATTTTCTGTCCATGTAATTGGGTATTTATTGCAAAGTGAGGAGTCAACTCATTTACTAAGCGAATGCCCTTTTGGTCCTTCCTATATCAGGGATGTTCAATTTTATATCGTTTGAGTGATGCTGGGACAGTTCTGAGCAACGGGCAGGTGTTTTTTTTTTTTTTTAACCTTCTACATACGTTTCACCTAGCGGCGTCTTCAGGAAGATGCCGCTAGGTGAAATGTACATAGAAGAAGGATCCTGTCACTTCCGAGTCCCTATGACATCACATCCTGCCCGCTGGTAGTGAGGCTTGGAACGCATGCGGCCATCACAATTGAGATTCACGATACACAGGCTACATAGACTGGTGCCAGTATTTGGGCACTGTCACATGTGAGCATATTGACATTTTATATATCTCAACCATGGTCTTTAATAATTATTATACTTAGAGCATTCTAATCTATTTGGTTTATATGAGCTACTTGGAGCACTATCTATACCTTGAGGAGAGCCTGGAATTGGGAATCCATTCAATTTAACCATTCACCCAGAGCTTCGAGAACACCTATCTGGGGTTGTTATTTTTGGTTCCTTGGATCAAAATTCCATATTAGGAGACCAGGAGGCCCAGTCCATGAGTGCTTGCTGTTGGCTGTCAGCTTATTGCATGACCATAGTGGTTTTTGACCACCTTAACCGGGCCAATAATTTCTGGTGTGAGAGGAATTCACTTATTGCCTACACATGGTGGAAAAGAAAATCTTTTGATCTGCTGGCTAACATTTCATGGGACTGTCATACACTTTATCTTTAACTGCTTCCCGTCTGGCCTTTAGCAGAAATACTGCTACAGGGCGGCATGGGTGTGCAAAATCACGTGTATATATACACTATTTTGCATCTCCGGGTAAGGGGCACACGTGCCCTACTTGCGCTGCCATTCACTGTTGTGGCTGTCAATCACCATGCCCCGGCCGGTAATTACTCACCGGCGCCCCGGTGATTTCCGACTATCACCGACGGGGAGGAAGACTGTTTTGTTTTCTAACAGTCTTCCTCCCCTTCAGCTCAGACACACTACTCTGGATGGCTGTGCACAGCATAGCCATCCTGAGAAGTGCTTACAGTGAAGCACCAAGACACCGGCCCCCTAGTAAAACACTCCCAGCACACAGTTAACCCTTTGATCGCCCCTCATGTTAACCTTTTCCTGCCCAGTGCCATTAGTACAGTGTCAGTGCTTTTTTTTTTAGCACTGATCACTGTATTGGTGTCACTGGGGATGTCAGTGACACCAAGTCATTTCCCCCTAGTGTCAGAATGTCCGCCGCAGTCACGCTATAAGTTGCTGATTGCGTCATTACTAGTAAAAATGGAACACAAAAAAAAAAACACAGTATATATACACCATTTGTAAAAGCTATAACTTTCACGTAAACCAATTAATTTACGCGTATTGGGATTTTTTTTTAGCAAAGGCATGTCGCAGAATACATTTTGGTGTAAATTTATAATGAAATTTGATTTTTACTGACATGTTTAATAACAAAATCAAAAAATATTGTTTTTTCTCAAAATTGCTGTTTTTTTATAGCGCAAAAAAATAAAAACTGCACAGGCGATCGAATACCACCGAAAGAAAGCTCAATTCGTGGGAAAAAAAGGAAGTAATTTCCATTTGGGTGCAACGTTGCATGACCATGCAATTGTCAGTCTAAGTAACGAGGAGCCATAATGCAAAAAATGGCCTGGTCAGGAAGGGGGGTAAATCCTCAGGAGGGCAAGTGGTTAATATATTTTGTCTGGGGACTTTTAAGTCGCTTTATGTTGCTGTGAGATTATTTTGATATAATTTATCATGTCTTATTGAAAATGGAAATGTCCTCCTGCGCTTAATACAGGTAAGGTCCCTAAATTAACAGCTGCTCTCACTCTCCCTTAAACCATTAAGTAACCAATTATAAAACCTTAAATTAGTGAAGCGCTAATATAATCTATACATATATTAAAGTGCCATCAGTGAATAATAGTGCTTTGGTGTTAATAATTTCTTACTGATCAATGAAACACTATAACTGATATATACCAAATTAACAACTCATATTAATATATATAAAAACAAACCTAATCCATAATATATCAGTGATAGATAATATAATCCGTTGAAAAAGACTATATATATAGTCTACAATAAATTCCTACTTCACATCCAATATTTAAAGTGAAAAATAATGATCGATATTTAAAGTGAAAAAGTGTATATGACAAACATAAACCTTTCAATGTGCATATACACAGTTGTGACCAAAATTATTCAACCCCCAATGCTGTAAAGGGGTTTCGGGACTAATAGTGTACATTTGGAATTGTATTCAAATCAAATCCTACAAGGACGTTGTAACTACCCCAAATGCAACTAAAATGACATCAATTGTTTTATGTAATACAGTAGTAAATGGTTCTTATGTGGTTTCTTCTCCTTCAATTGCCACAATTATTCAAAAACCCCTTAAAGACTACCACATCTGAAGACACATGAGGTTCATACAGGTGCTTTCCAATCAGGTATTGAAAACACCTTGTGGATGTCACCGAGCAGCAATCAAGCATAATAAGCACCAATTAGGCAGCTTTAAAATGACTGTGATACTCAGCTCCTTCTAGACATTTACTGGTGTGGTTACAAACATGGTGAAGGCAAGAGAATTGGGTCCCTAGGAAGTGACAAAGAGAAGAGGGATTTCTCTTCACAGGAAGGGCAATGGCTATAAGAAGATTGCAAAGATGTTTAAACATACCAAGAGACACCTTAGGAAGCATCATTCGCAAATTCAAGGCAAAGGGCACTGTTGAAACGCTACCTTGTCGTGGCAGAAAGAAGATGCTGACTTCGACTGCTGGTGCGCTACCTGAAGCGTAGAGTGTGGAGAGAAAGTCCCGTGTGTGGGGGGACTGGCTGGAGGAACTGGAGAAAAGATTTGTCAGATGTGGGTACAGAAGTTTCAGCCCACAGGACAATAAGACGTCACCACTGCGTAATGAAGGCCTCCGTGCCAGAACTCCCAGGGCGTACCCCCCTTGCTGTCTCCAAAGAATAAGAAGAGTCGACTGCAGTATGCCACAAAGCCATGTTGGCACAAACCACAAAAGTTGTGGGATAGTGTTCTGTGGACTGATGAAACAAATTAGAACTGTTTGGGCCCATGGATCAACGCTATGATTTGGAGGAGGAAGAACAAGGCCTATGATGAAAAGAAACACGCTTGCCTACTGTGAAGCATGGTGGAGGGTCTCTAATCATGCTTTGGGGGCTGTTTTGCTTCTGCATGTACAGGGAGACTTCAGCTGTGTGCAAGGTAACCGAGAATTCTCTCAGTACCAGGAGATATTTGGATGGAAACGTATGCAGTCCGTCACACACCTGAGGCTTGGGAGGTCTTGGACCTTTCAACATGACAATGATCCCAAAGCTATACCTCCAAGTCCACTAGAGCATGGTTGCAGAGGAAAGGCTGGAACATTTTGGAGTGGCCATCGCAGTCACCAGACTTAAATCCGATTGAGAACCTCAGCTTTGGGAGCTTAAAGAAAAGCAGTTGCAGTGCGCAAGCCTAAGAATGTTGACTGAACTGGAGCCTTTGCCTTTGCCCATGAGAATGGGCGAAGATACCCGTAGATCGCTGCAAGACACTTGTGTCAAGCTATGCTTCACGTTTTAAAAGAAGCTGTTATATAACTGTAAAAGGATGCGTGTCACTAAGTACTAAGATTGAATGTCACTTGGGGGGTTGAATAAAAACTGATAATGCTGTGAGCACAGAAAAGACATTTGTGTTATTTTCATTTATAACTGTTATTGTTATATATTTGTCTGACCATACAAGTGCCTCTTTAATGTAAATGTAAGCAAGATGACTGAATGATCAAAAGCAATGTCAAAGCTGGCCAAAACACTCAAATTTTCAGTGGGGTTGAATAATTTTGGTCACAACTGTACAAAAAAAAATATATATAAAAAATATATATTATAAAAAAAGTCCATGCAGGTGTAACTTGTAGACAAAACGAACAGTGGGATCCTTCACGTTCTAGTGCTCAAATAAATCCTCAAATGGCATGCCAGTGCCTGCTCACCTCCCCACACTTGACCCCTCAAGGGGCCAAAAGGCTACTGGTCTCCTCTTAATGCCAATCTTTATTTCCAGGTAGCCTCAGAGCAGGGATCACAGGATTTCCACTCCACCTACCACTCACCATTCACGTCATCATAGAGACACAAACAGAACTTCCCATAGTGTAATTATTGTTTAATACAAACACTTCTTAGAACATATTGGTTACACTCACATTTGTTCCTGGTTACAGAAAGACTTTCTCCCCCACCTCAATCCCATAATGTGTATCACATGAAACAAGGGAAACCAATATGAACCGCTGCGTCCGGCCCCTTACATCGCTTCCCACGTGACCGGGGGAAGTGACGTAACACCAAACCGGATATGGCGTGTACCGACGCGGTTGCTCACGTGCGTCGTTACTTCAACAGCGTTAACAATTATTACACTATGGGAAGTTCTGTTTGTGTCCCTATATGACGTGTGAGTGGAGGTGGAGTGGAAATCCTGTGATCCCCTGCTATGAGCATACCTGGAAATAAAGATTGGCCAATAGAGTAGACCAGTAGCCTTTTGGCCACTTGAGGGTCAGTGTGGGGAGGGGGAGCAGACACTGGCTGCCATTTGAGGATTTATTTGAGCACTAGAAGAAAGATCACTGTTCGTTTGGTCACAAGTTACACCTGCACATGGACTTTTATATATATATACAGTCATGGCCGAAATTGTTGCACCCTTGATATTTCTCCAGGAAATCAAGTATTTCTTCACGAAACGTATTGCATTAACACATGATTTTGCTATACACATGATTGTATTCCCTTTGTGTGTATAGGGACAAAACCAAAAAAGGGAGGAAAGAAAGCAAATTCGACATAATGTCACACAAACCTCCAAAAATGGGCTGGACAAAAGTATTGGCACCCTTTCACAACTGCGGAATAATATAAGAATGTTACAAGCATGTGATGCTCCTGAAAACTCACCTGGGCAAGTAACAGGTCGTGGGCAATATAGAAATGCACACCTGAAAGCAGATAAAAAGGAGAGACGTTCCACTTAACCTTTGCATTGGTAGTGTCTGTCTGTGCACACTAAGCATGGACAACAGAAAGAGGAGACGAGAACTGTCTGAGACCTGAGAACCAACAATTGCTGGCAAAATATCAACAAGTCTCAAGGTTACAAAGTCCATCTCCAGAGAACTAGATTTGCCTTTGGTCCACAGTGCGCCAACATTATCAAGAATGTTTGCAACCCCTGGCACTGTAGCTAATCTCCCTGGTCGTGGTGACGGGATGAGGAAAATTGATGATGAAAGATTGCAACGCAGAATAGTCCGGATGGTGGATAAGCAGCCCCAAACATATTCCAAAGACATTCAAGCTGTCCTGCAGGCTCATGGAGCATCAGTGTCAGCGCGAACTATCAGTCGACATTTAAATTGAAATGAAGACGCTATGGCAGGAGACCCAGGAGATGAACCCCACTGCTGACCCCACAGAGACATAAAAAAGCAAGACTACAGTTTGCCAAAATGTACTTGAGTAAGCCAAAAGCCTTCTGGGAAAACGTCTTGTGACAGATGAGACCAAGATAGAGCTTTTCGGTAAAGCACATCATTCTACTGTTTACCGAAAACGGAAATGAGGGCCTACAGAAGAACGAAACACAAGTAGTACCTACGGTAAAATATGGTTGGAGAGGTTACATATGATGTTTTTGGGGTTGTTTTGCTGCCGTCTGGCAGCTGGGTGCCTTGAACGTGTGTAGCAAGGCATTCATGAAATCTGAGGAATACCAAAGGATTTTGGGTCGCCACTGATTAGGCCCAGTGTCAGAAAGCTGGTTTTTGCGTCCAAGATCCTGGGTCTTACTGCCAGGACAATTGACCCCAAAACCTACGTCAAAAAGCAACTCAAGAAATGGATGGCAAAGAATGTCGCTTGGAGAGTTCATGAAGTGGCCCAGACAATGAGCCCCAAGATCTAAATCCCCATTGAACACTCTGTGGAGTGAGAGATCATTAAAATTGCTGTTGGGAAAAGGTAGTCCTTGCCAATAAGACGAGAACCTGGAGCTGTTGTTTGCAAGGAAAAGGAAGAGTGGTTCCATTATTCCCGGATGAGAGGTGTCAGAAGCTTAAGTTGATGTTATAGGAAGCGACTGATCTTCAGTTATGTTATTCCAAAGGGGCGGCTGTGCAACCAAATATTAACAGTCAGGGGTGCCAATACTTTTGTCCAGCCCATTTTGGGGTTTTGTGTGACATTATGTCATAATTTGCTTTTCTGCCTCTGTTGTATATTTGTACCAATTACAATACAAGGGGGAATAATACATGTGGTATAGCAAAACAATTGTGTTAATGCAAATACTTTTTTGTCTGTGAAATACCTTGATTTTCAGGACAGGAAATATCAAGGGTGCCTAACAATTTTCGGCCGATGACTGCCTATATATATATTTTTTTTGTATATGCTCATTGAAAAGGTTTATGTTTGTCATATACACTTGTTCACTTTAATTATCCGCAGCATTATTTTTCACTTTAATATTGGATGTGAAGTAGGAATTTTATTGTAGATATAAATTAGTCTTTTTCACGGATTATATTATCTATCACTGATATATTATGATTAGTTTGATTTTTATATAATATATTAATATGAGTTGTTAATTTGGTATTATATCAGTTTATAGTGTTTCATTGATCAGTAAGAAATTATTAACACCAAAGCACTATTATTCACTGATGGCACTTTAATATATGTATGTAAGATTTATTATTTTAAGCGCTTCACTAATTTAAGGTTATATCATGTCTTTTTGATTTATTGCCTACCTATTCATAATTTTATTTTCACAAGTGTATTTCGCTATTTAGGGACAGCGCTGATATTATTGGCCTAGTGCTGGCACCATTTACAAATTTCTGATGTTCACTGATTTAAGGTTTTTGAAGGTGCCACAATATTGCTTATTCACAACTCAGTATTTCCTATAAGTTGTTTTAAAATCTGTGTGTTGCTGAGAAAACAGATGTGATCAGGAAGGATTTTTTTATAACTTCTAATGACCTATACCATATTTTGCATTATATTGTAAACCAACCTTTTGTTGTATCTCCAGTTCTTGACATCTGTTCTTCAGCCTCCTTATAACTCTCCATCAGTTTACTCTGGAAGCAAACATTAGACATTTTACTTCTAGATGCATTTCTCTTAAAGTAAAAATAGAATAAACAGTGGTTTAAAGGTGTCTTAGATATACAGTATATGTGAAGGTGATTAGCCTAATGAAAGAAAACAATTGTTATTTATGTGCCTGTAGGCATCCATCATGTACAGTATACATTCTGTGCTTACTAGTTTGTTGTGCTACACAGTGACTTTACTGCGTTTATGCTTTCCTGCAAATATAGAGCAAAATCAACTGAGGCTCACTAAATGCTGCAACTGATGAAATCTCAGCAGTTGTCCAATAAGGGTGCAAACTGCATAGGCAGACATACAAACAGTAATGTACATTTCTTTAGTCTCAGTAAAATGTTATCCGACGAAAGACCAGGGACAGCACAACTGATATAGTATATCCATTGTCTACATCGAATGCCAGGTTCATCTAACTCCTAATTGTTTATAAAAATTGAATGTATGTGACAAAAATGGAGGAACTTGGGTTGATGGGGAACTTGACCCTCTCTCAAAAGGACCAAATCATACTAAAAATCAGCAAAAAATTTGCATTACTGGATTGTCTTTAGCTTTTCTGATGTAGTAAGCTCATTCTGGTGGAGAGTATCTAGGGTTACCCTCTAGCTTAAAGTGTTACAAACCCATAACCGTAAAATCAGTCTGTATATGCAGAAAAGCATGCTCACCGTGGAATTTAAGGGGGTTAATCCTCTACATTGTATAAAAAAGATGTTTAATCCGGTCTCTGACTCAGATCCTGATAGAACAGAGCCTTGGGGGGCAAGCTGCACATGCTCAGTTTGGTGTGTATTGATTTTTTCTTTTTCCTTGGTAGAGTGCATGTGATCAGCACAGGGCTAATCAGTACTGTCCAGACAGAGGGTCAAGGGTCATGCAGTCTCATAGGACAGTGAGATGAGAATGAAAACTCCTCCAAGCTTTAACCAGTGTGCTCTGTTGGACACGAATAGAAGTCACAAGACTGCTATTATACTGCTGATGAGCAAAGGTGATTTATCAGTTTATGTTTACTAAAATAATTGCATTTCCATGTTCTAAGTACTGTAGGAGACCAGATATAGTGAGTGCAGGGTCATGGGTTTTAGTAACACTTTAATCTTTCTTACCCTTCTTTCATGCTTTCTTCTACCCTCCCTCCAGTTGTTCGTTTTTTCCTAATCCCCTTCATTATGTTCCTGATCCTCTGCCCATCCCCCCCAGTGGTCCCACTATCCATTCTTTTTCCCTCCCTTCTCTGCACCCCCATTTTTTTTTGCCCCAAATAGCATTTCCTGTCTTCTCTTTCTACCACCTATCTCCAGTTTGCTTTTCAGAACCTTCCCCTCCTACCTATTTTCCTTCTACTTCATTTTTGGCAAGAAACTACCTAATTTAAATAGTTCCCCCTTCCTACCCACTGCTCATACTGTCCTTGTTTCTCCCTACCCTGTCCTGTAACACACTTTCACAGCCAGTGGTATCTTTGTACGAGCTCATCTTAGACAGTAACTCAAATGTTACACAGATTTGAACAGTATCTGGTGTTACTTGTCATGTTTTCTGGCTGGTGGTTTTTGTGTATGAACGTTCTTCATCATATTGTACTACACTTTTTTAAAGTTTTAAATAGACTTAGGAAGAATAAAAACTTCTGTCAGGTCTTTATTATTCTCCATTACCCCACTGGATAGATTTTTGCTTTACTTCCTGTGCTTGTGATAGGACAAGAAATGAGGGGAACAGTTGGCACTTGGACAAGAAAAATTAAAGACGATCATAACCGGACAGTTTCTAATATTTATTGAAAAAAAATTGTTTTGTTGCAGTTAAAGGCTCCATGCACACTAGGAGTTTTGATAATACTGATAACGTTAGCTGTGTAAAGTCACATTAAAAATGTGAGTTTTTCAGCTTTCTTTAAGGTGATTGTAGCCGTATTAGTGCATTTGCGACAGAAACAATTGAGTACTGTCCGTGATACTTTTTTAATTTGCACTAACATACAATTTTGAGGACAAGCTGTATAGTACTGCTTGGACTTTGAAGAAGGGGACATACTTAAATTGTATGTTAGTGCAAATAAAAAAAGTATCACGGACAATACTCAATTGTTTCTTCAGCTTTCTTTAACGTTTTTGCATTAGTGTTTAGTGGCGTTTTTCTGCGTTTAGTGAGTTTCCCACGTTTTTCCGCGTTTGCATTTTTTAGCGTTTGTTTTAAAAAGTCCAAAAATGCTGGTTTGCGGCAGTTTTACCATGATTTAATGTGTTTTTTAATGTGATACAGCGTTTCTACAGCTAAAAAACTCCTCTAGAAACCCACTAGTCCTAGGTTTTTTTTCCAGCCAAAAAACGTCCCTGCCAAAAAAACGTTGATTACAGTCTATATGTGCATGGACACATAAGATAACATGCTGGGGGGTTTACCAGTTGTAGAAAAAAAACCATCAAAAGCCAAAAATAGTAGCTGTAAAAACGTCCAGTGTGCATGAGGACTGAGTCCCAGTAGGAGAAAGTCCTCTCCTGAAAGGAAAGTAAGGGGAAATCTCCTCAATGCAGATACAGAATGTAAATATTCTGGCTTCATGCATTTCCCACTCTATCCAGAACAACATAAAATGTTTTGGCTGGAGTTGAGCTATAGACCAGTAAGGGTTTAAAAACACACATGTGCTTTATTTTGTAAGCTTTAAAGCAGAGCTTCAATAAAAAAAAGGGAATGGCTTATTAAAAGTCTACACGGTGCTGCAGTATTCCGCTACAATCTGGAGATTTCCCTCTCAGTACTGCATAATTTGCTTAGTCTTCAGGCTTGGGGATAGCCAGCTTCATTTACCCCAATATCACTGAGCCCAGGATATCATGCACCCACCCCCAACACGTCACACTACAGAAAAGGAGAAGCTGCACAGGATTGAGCTCATCTCTCAGTCACTATGCTATCTCCTTCTATCAGTATGCACCTTTCAACACATAAAATTTCTACATTTTTATTGTACTCATCCCTAAGTACATGGGCTTTGCTTTGCATGGGCTTTGCTCATATAGAGGGAAAAGACGATCAGAAATCTGACAACATAATAATATAACACAAGGGACTCTCTTTGGAGTTAAGCGCCGAGGGTATATCAAAAATGCAGGACACTGACCCACACACAAAAAAAACCACACCTGTCTTCGAATACATTAATTTAATCATATACCAAAGTCTTACTTTTTGGTCAATGCTTAGATACATGGACTTGTCAACATTTGCAGGAAATCCTGTAAAAAAAATCAATGAAACCAAATCAGAATATTAAAGTCTTATTTGTACATATCCTGTTCTGTAGGTACCAAAAGTATCTCCTTACATTCTCAGCATTTCAAACCTTATTTTAATTATTGTTAAATTTCATCAAAGAATTTTCAGCAACCCTAGATGCTGGTGTACCATTGCTTGGAGACACTAGGTTTTGGTGTAGTCTGGGAAATCAGGCTTTTGTGTATCTTTGCCTTAGGACCCAAAATATTGGCATAACATTGCCTTGGTATGCCATTTCACACTCTGTCTTTGATCTCTGGGTGAAAATATCACTAAATCCATATCTCAGGATGGGTTCAAATGAAAATACTTGTTTAACAAGCCATAAAAATACATGCAAAAAACATTTATACTAACACAAATGGAAAAAGGTCCAGGTATTTAACAAGGGCTTCAATGAAGCAACAATAGGGAGCAGTGGTGGGGGGAGTGCAACAAAACTATGTATCAATGCAGTACAAGGGCACCTATCACTTTGCCCTGCAGGGGAAAAGATACAAGTTCCCTTTAGATCTAAATTTACACTGAAACCTGAACACCACTGAAACAAAATTATTTGTCTCTTGCAACCTCATGTAAAAGCTCATTTAAAGTCTGTTTCCACAGGCCTTACTTTACATTAGATAGATTTGTATGGGAATGCAAAACGCATTGAAATGCAGGGCAGGATATCAACTGTAAGTTATCCTATATGGGTGATGCTGTTGGATGGTAATCGCATTAAAGCATGACGACGGCGACTTCCCAACTGCCAATGAACAAGTCACTCTGACGAAAACTTGTATGTGTAGGGTGGGACTCCTGACGTCATCACGCTAGGAGACGGAACTGTGTGAGTACTGTGATGCTGCAGTTTGCACTTGCATCATTGGATTTTACATACTTAAGATATGCTGATGTGATATTCAATTATAAAGCAATAGCCAAAAATGGACAGAATTACTGGCACCCTCAATTTCATATTTGGTAGCACACCCCTTGGAAAAAATAACAAAAATCAATTGCTTCCTGTAACCATCAATGAGTTTCTTACACCTCTACTGGAATTTTGGACCACTCTTCTTTCACAAACTGCTCTCATATTGGAAGGGTTCCTTTTCCCAACTGCCTTATTGAGAACTCTCCATAGGTGCTCTATGGGATTGAGATCTGGACTCATTGCTGGCCAGTTCAGTACTCTTCAGTGCTTTGTCTTAAACCATTTCTGGTTGCTTTTTCAAGGGTGCTTTGGGTCATTGTCCTGCTGTAAGACTCATGACCTCTGACGGAGACCGAACTTTCTGACACTGGGTGCTACATTGCAACCTGGAATTATTTGTTAGTCTTTAGATTTCTTAATACGATGCATACGGTCAAGACATCCAGTGCCTGCAGCAGTAAAGCAACCCCAAAACATCAGTGAACCTCCACCATGTTTGACTGTACGGACTATATTCTTTTCTTTAAAGGCCTCATTTCTTTTTCTGAAAACAGTACAATGATGGGCTTTTTGTTTAGTCTGTCTACAGCACATTCTCCCAAAAGGATTTTGGCTTCCTCAGGCAAGTTTTGGAAAGCTTCATTCTGGCTTTTTTATGTTTGTGTCAGCAATGGGGTCCTCCTCGGTCTCCTACCATAGCTTCCCTTTTCATTCAGATGGTGACGTATAGTGCGTGCTGACAGTTGTACCCCGTGTCTGAAGGTCAGCTTAAATTTGTCTGGACGTTGATTGAGGTTCTTTAGCCACCATTTGAACAATCCTTTGCGCAATCTTTGATTAATTTTTCTCTTTTGTCAATGTCTAGGGAGATTAGCAACAGTGCCATGGGCTGTAAACTTCTTGACAATGTTGCACACAGTGGACACAGGAACATTACAATCTCTGGAGATGGACTTGTAACCTTGAGACTGTCCATGTTTTTCCACAATTTTTGTTCTCAAATCCTCAGACAATTCTTTACTGCTCTTTCTCTTCAAGCTCCATGTGGCACACAGAGCTATACAAATTACAGGAGCATCACAAACTTGAAATGCAATCATTTCTTACAGTTTTGAGAAGGTGCCAATGATTTTGTCCAGGTAATTTTTGGAGTTTTGGGTGGAATGCGTCAGTTTTGGCTTTTTGTTTCTCCACTTGTTGGTGTCATACCAATACAAACAAAAGAAGCAAACATCAGAATGTCTAAACATATGTAATTGCAACATTCTTCTGGGCGAAGAGGTGTATTATCTGACAGAAATGAAGAGTGCCAATAATTTTGGCCATGACTGAGTTTAATCTTTTATTACTTTATGTCACTATTGCAAGTTTCTTTGATATTGTTGGGGGCTTAAACCTGAGAGAATCATCTGCAGTGCAGATGGATTAAGATTGGTGCTGTGTAATGGTGAGATGCTTTCTGATGGGGATTGGAGTGTTTTTTTTCAATATCTGAAAGACACAGCAGTTGCGGGAAGACTTTTTCATCTTTGGCCGCATGTGTGGCTCACAGTACAATGCCATTGACAGGCCAGTTATGACAGTAGAGACCAATAGGGTATATTCTGTTATAAAGCCCTACCTGTCAGTGGCTTTAAAAAGAATACATTCAATTCCAATTTAAGTCTATGGCCAGCCTAAGCCACATACAGACAGATGTGCCTGTTGTCTGGCACTAATTCCTGGTACAGGCTTATCAAGTTGGAAAACAAAGACCGATTGCTCAGTTACTTAGGATCTGTTGACAGAAATGTCTAAAGCTGTTGGAAGACATGAGATCAAGGTTGGTAATGATGTGACATGTTTGTGGAAACCTTTACTGCATATACCAGAGTATCTTCAAAACAGCTACAATTTTTATCTCTGTATTATGCTGTAAGACCTGTACTCCATAATGCTCCACTTGGTAAACTGTGCTGCCACAGTCTGTTGACCATTTTCTGCTTTACCTGGAGGGAATTTATTTTAAAAGCATACCAGAGCTGATTGCTGTTTGTGAAGACTTTGCGGTCAGTACTGCAACATTTGTTGTATCTGGAGATACAAAAAATCTTTATTGTAGGGTTACATGCATTGTAAAACATTGAAACCATACAAGGGCTGTACCGAACGTAATGCAAAAGTGGCCAGAGCTTTTTTATTAACTTTCATAGGTAATTTCACGTTGGTAGAATATCTCTTCCTCTATAGTAACTCCTCTTGTTTTTCATTGCAGGTAAATAATGTATTCCATGCAGAAGCAACGTATCATCGCTGAGTTCTTGACAAAGGAAGGGTGCAGGACTGTCTGTAAATATTCAGTAGCCCTTAGTGGGTTTCAGAAATTACACAATTTAAACTTCTTAATCTATAAGAGCACACTGATCTCATCAACAGTGTCATCTCCATAAACATTCTGTAGCCTTTTGTGGATGTTGGACAGTCTGCACCCCTCCATCATCAAGGCAAATACGACATGGAATCCATTATTCGCCTGCAACGAAAAGGAGGAACAGTTACTATAGAGGAAGAGTTACTCTACCAGTGTGTGAAATTTGAACAACCTATGTAAGTTCATAAAAAAAAAATAAAATATGCCAACGTTTTCATTACTTTTAGTACAACCCTAGTAGTTCTTATGATTCAAGTGTCCAGAACACAAACCCCACAGGTATTAATAGTCTTGGCTTCCCTTAGTTTTATAAGATGTTTTCCACCAAATGAAATGACAACTCTCCAACTTGGATTATGTCTGCTTGCTCTCTGTCCATCACAGCATTATTTTATCTCTATCTTCAGAGCTACTCATTGGGCAAAGTTTTATTAAAAGATTTGTGTATCCACAAATACAGTGCAAAACCCCACGGAAGCGCAAATGACACAATCAACAATGATGGGATTTAGAACACAAATTGCACATGCATGTATAAATGGGCAGCCCAGTGGCTAAATGGTTAGCACTAGGGTCGTTGGTTCGAATCCCAACCATGGCACCACCTGTTTGGAGTTTGCATGTTCCTTCTGTGCCTGTGTGGGTTTCCTCTGGGTACTGCGATTTCCTCCCACTCTTCTTAAACATGCTGGTAGGTTAATTGGATCCTGTCTAAAATTGGCCCTAGTATATGTATGTATGAATGTAAGTTAGAGACCTTACATTGTACGCCCCTTCAGGGTTAGGGACTGATGTGAATGTACAATATATATGTAAAGCGCATAAATTGACAGTTCTATACAAGTACCTGAAATAATAAATATGTTCTATAAAAATGTTCACTATAACTCTCCAGCACCTGCCTGCTGTGATGTAGCGCATGTGTTATAGGTGAATGTGTATTTTTGTGATAAAAAATTAAATGATTCTAATTTTCCTTTTAGTGTCTAAACAGTCAACTTTTTAAAATGCTAGCCTAAATTCTGAAAAAATTATATTTTACAGATCTTTCAGCATTTAGCTTGAATGCTACATATAAAAAATTATTTGTATATTACTTTCAGAACAGATCGTAATTTTATTTTTATACCTCTGTATGTTCATGAAGGCATAAAACAATACTGTAAACATTAGTGACAATTATAAGAAAAAACTGTTGACTTTGAGCCCCAGAAGTACATGCAACTATGTAATACAAAGATTACAGCTGTCTGTATGTTATGCATGAGTGGACGTAAGCAATCTCAGCATGTTCACCTACCAGGTAGAATTTATATTTGGTTTTTAATGACACATCAATGCAAGTACAAAGCTTCTTTACTTGTATATGAAAGGCTGTCAGCTTGCAATGCTAAAGCCCAATCCTTTGCCCTGGCCTTCCTTCCACTCATGCCTATTTATGCATGTAATGTTCCTCACCTTTGTGTTATTGAATAATAAATATCTAGTCTGTAATTACACACTTTTTTAACTTGCTGCTATTTTTTTTCATAAAAAAAAGGAATAAGTGTATATGTGTCTATTAACAGTTGGCAAGACCAAAGCATCATATTTGATGGGCAGACAGAAAAATGTGTACTCACCAGAAGGGTCTTCGTCTGTGTGGGTTATCTCCTCCACAAGCATGGGTTCATCTTCCTGGAGGTCCCTAGAAGAAGCTGGCTCATCAGCGGTCTGCCCTGCATCCATTATTACAATAAAAATATGAATCAATAAATGAAGCCGATGTAAATACTTTGACACAAAATTCTGTTTGTTATGCCTTCTTACTTGCTGCCATCTTTCTTTTCTTATTCAAAAGATATATATGTATGCACGTATATTAACAGCACTTGGCAAATCAAAAGTAACACATTTTATCTGCAGCCAAAAAACTCTGAGTCACCAGTAAGGAGTACAGTGTCTTCATTTGCAGGTGTTATCTCCTTCACAAGCATGGGTCCATCTTCTGGGCGGTTACCAGGAGAAGCTGGCTCATCTGCTGTCTGTCCTGTATCCATTATTACCATGAAAAAATATTAATCAAATGGAGTTGATGTAAATAGTTTTCAATACAAAATTCTGTTTGTTATGCCTTACTTGCTGCCATCATTTTTTTATTAACATCATATAAATGTGTATACACGTATATTAAAGTATAACTGAAGTCAGAACTTTTTTAGTTTTGGATTCAGTGGAGAAGGATTACAACCCATGTCAGTTTTTACTGCTGTCAGTGCCCTCGCTCACCCTATTTGTCCTGTTTACTATTATCCTTGAAAGTGAAAGGAAAATTCCAAATTTTGGATTGTCTCCAGAAAAGTATTAGAGGGGAAATCTTCCAATGGGGACACTAGTTCTGGTGACATGGGGGTCCCCCAAGGATTCCCTTACTTTGCAGGGATTTCCTCTCCCTTCCTTTTTGGCTATGGGGCAGGAAGTGAAGGGAAATCTCCAAAATGGGACACAGATGAGGAAAAAGATCTGACAGGGGTTATAATACTTCCTTGCTCTATCTAAAATGAAGAAAAAAGTTTTGCCTATACTTCTACCCTAACACTTGGCAAGGCCAAAGCAACACATTTTATTGGCAATCATGAAAATCTGAGCTCACCATAAAGAAGTACAGTATCTTCAACTGCATGCGTCATCTCCTCCACAGCCATGTCTCCATCTTCCAGCAGGCCACCAGAAGAAGCTGGCTCTTCCTCTGTCTGCCCTGTATACATTACAATAAAATTATTAAGCATCAAATGGAGCTGATGTAAATACTTTTCAACACAAACTTCCATTTGTTAAGTGACATAAGGAAATTACGCCCTTTGACAGCCTGAAGGCGGTCATTGGATTTTGGGCCCCTGTATGTAGCTAGGCTGCCAAAAAATCTCACACCCCAAAACACATTCTGCTACTTCTCCCAAGTATGTGTAATTCCATGTATACCTATGGCATGTGTGAGAAATATCTCATTAAAATTACAACTTCGTGTAAAAAAAAAATTTTTTTTTTTTTGCATTTTCCAAAAAACTTGTGGCAAAAAATGAAATCTTTCATGGGGTGTCTACTTTCCAAAAAGGGGTCATTTGGGGGGTGTTTGAACTGTCCTGAACTGCCCAAACTTAGGAGCTTCTGCCACACATCCACCTACTCTTCTAATGTTGGGCATACTGTACATGTAATGTTCTTTTTTTTTGTGTAGCACACAAAAAACAGATTCCTCCATTCACATTGATTTTTACTGCTGAAGAGATCTTGGCCAGAAAAAAGTGAAAAAATTATTGAAGCATAGGAGCTACTGCCCACCCTACATTCCTAATGCTTGGGCATTCAAAAATAAAAAAAAAATTTCTCCTTTTACATTGATCCAGAGGAAGGCAAAAATAAAACCCCAACAGATCATGAAAAACTGAAAAAAATCCTTCCTGATCCCCCAGAAGGCCATTGGATATTCTCTGGATCAAGTACCCCTGGTGTGATGTGGAAGGAGAAATTTCGGCCAGAAAAAAAAGTGAAAAAAGTATATGCCGAAGCATATACCACCCACTGATCACCCCAAGCTCCTAATGCTTGCACATACACATTTTATTTTTTGTTTTTTCTTTTAAACTGCGGATGGAGAACTCTCTGCCTGCAGCACTACAGGCAATAACATTTGTATTCTAAGAGCAGCACCCTGCTTCTGTCAAATATACAGATCAGTGCTGCAGCTGGTGTTTCTGCCAAGCAAACAATGGTTAACAATAACACACAGTAACAATATAAAATTAACTCAATAAAAACAACTTTTTTAAACTTCTTTAGAGACCCTTTTGTATAGAATTGTGTGCCATGCTATACCCGTGCTATATACCCTGCCTAGACTAATAATTCACTACGGTTTGGTAGCAACGGAAGTAGTCCTTGATGCAGAGGCCAGGTTGTCCATGACAGGTGGGACAAAAAACAGGTGTCTCCCACAGACATCTTTTTTGGGGTGACCTTTTGGCTGGGGTAGATTGGAGGACATTTGGAAAATGCCTCTAATGCAGCCAGCTAACTGCATCTGAATTGGGCATTGGGCCACAGTGCCTTCTGGACACAGAAGAGCCTCCTGACATTTTAGAAAGGATTTACTTCTTCTAGTTGCTTTATAAATTACATAAGCATTATATACAGCCAATTGAATATATACGCACATTTTTGTACCAGCATTTGGCTTTTCGGGCAGTTAAATACAAATTCATCATGTGGTTGTTGAAGTCTACGACTCCCTTATAAAGATTATAGTCGTGGACCCAGACAGGCTTTTCAAGTGGCACCAAAATGTCATTTTAATTTGGATTGTCATGTCTGGGTGAAGGAAAGACAGGATGAATACATCCAGTTTGTCCTTCCACTTCACTGCAAAAAGTTCTTCATTGTGCAAGCAGGCTTTCAACCCCTTTCTAAGAGGGGCGTTACCGAGCCATTGAGGGAAGCCCCTACAATTAGGTCGCATGGTGCGACAGCAGCCAATTCCTAGATTGTATGCGAACTCTTCTCTCAACGTCACATGTCCCAATGCATTTCGTCACTTCCTGGACTTTTTCATAAATCCAATGATCCCTTTATGAAAAAATCTAGAAAGCATCTACTGTGTGGGAAAAGGTTGACATTACCTACATAGGGTAATTACCCATTGCTGCACCAGTTGGAGTGTTTTTCACTTGAGTTGCACACCTTGGAGTTCACTTTTGGGTTTATGTTTATTGTAATTTTTACAGTGAATGAGTCCATTACCACATTTAGTAGAGAACATGTTTATTGTGTTTCGGAGTGTTCACTTTTTGGTTCACGTGTGTTAATGATTTTTATTTTTTGAATATCTATATTAATTTTGTATATATTTATATATATTTTTTTTTATTGTTTGTTTTTTTTTGCACTTTTTTGTACACATGATTTGCAATGTGCATGACACATTTATTTTTGCACAAGCATTTGTAAAAGGTGATACACTATTTCTAGTTTATATTATTTTGAGGTTCATGTACGTTGGAATACAACACGTTGGATCATCATATACAGCATAACACGATGTGATCTGGAGGTGGAAAAAAAAGTGATTTGAACATTTGGAGATTTTAGAGACATTTATGGGACTGTGCATGAGTTTATGTTCTATTTATTTTTTTATTTTTGTATTTATTTGAGGTGTAGATATTTGGACTGGGTTAGGGTGTCGTTGAGAGAAGAGTTCACATATTTTATTACTTTCAAGGGTGAAAGTTTTTTCTTTTCTTCTGGGATAGGAGTGTTATTGTTTAATTAGGAGTGTGCACAACTATTGGTTTTCAATTCCTAGATTGAATAAATGTCTAAAAAGGTTTGCATGCTTGCATAAAAGTGGTCCACGTACAAATGGTACCCCATATGAAACAAGGGTCACAACAAGCCCAAACACATCTTACCACTGCTTCCCATATAGTCTGGGCATTCAGGGGGCTCCGCATGACTGTCTCTTCCTTCGTAAATTCTAAAATGATGAAAGTATAGCCTGTGGCCCTATCACAGAGCTTATACAGTTTGACCCCATATCTGGCACACTTGCTGGGGGGATATTGCTTAATTGCAAACCAGCCAATAAAATATACAAGGGACTCCTCCAGATATTTTGTTGGGGTGTATACACCTCTGCAAATTTTTGGGAAAGGTAATTTACGAGGGGCCAAACTTTGTTGTGCCTCAAAAAAGTCAGGGAGGGGGTTGTTAAGTTAGCCTTTTCTACCTGAACCCCAGGCTGGGCTGTGAATAGGGTGATAACAGGTGCTGCTGAATCTGGGGACAGCCAAATGGGGTTTGCAAGCACTTCTGGAAGTCTACTATAGGCTCTACGGACCTGTGCTCGAATTCTTGGTGGCTCCAATTGCCTTACGCTACTATTGCTAGCCACTGCACTATTGCACTTTCGGTGCTCGCCACTTCACCATTAGATACTGCAGGGCTGGTATCTAAAAGGCCAGATGTACTTTGCCACTGGTGTCAGCCAGATCAAGTAGTGCATCTCTAGTACCTGAGCCCTGTTGCAAATTAGCATAATTATGCATTTCTAACACTTCAGCAGCCTAGTTTTAGCGGGTACCTCTTCTCATTCATCTGAGCTACCTGCCAGGGTGCTTTCTATAGGTTCATATTCTGAGCCTGATTCTGACTGCGAGCCCTCCCCTTTGCTCTTATCGGTCATGGTCAAAAGAATCGTGTAGGCCTCCTCACTAGAGTACCTTTTTTGGGACATTTTAGGTCTAAATTTACAGGTACCTAGTGGCGACTATGGGAAAGAGCTCCTGAGTAGCAATCAGGGGCTGCTTGCACACTGGAAATAGAACTGGTAGTGCTGGCGGAGACCAGCCCTGATTCTGCTAATGATGCAGTTTAGTGCACAATGTATCAAAGGTGGAAGGATCAGAAAAATTATACTCTGACACTTGTTTGGGAGGGGGAGAAACACAAGTACTGACAGAAATTTGGACTGATCTTGCTAACGCTGCGTATTGGGGACACTATACCAATCGAGATATTAGTACAGTTCTGCTCTTGATCAAGATACTGATCCAGACAGACACACAGTGATCAGTGACTTCTAGTGTGACTACGATAGTGTGATGGACAACCTAGCACTAACTGACCCTGGCTGGGAGGGACGCTAACTGACCCTGATGCTTTCTGATGTCGCAAGTGATACTAAGACAGTGATCATTGCTGAATACTGTACACAGACACCGTACTAATGGCACTGGCTGGGGGACAGGGGTGATCAAAGGGTTAATTGAGGGCAATCAAAGGGTTGAATTTTCCTAAAATTTTGTGTAAGTGTAAATGTGCTGCTTTTAAGCACTGTAGTGTTGCTTTCTTCTCTTCTTGAATTGAAAGGATTCAAGAAGAGAAGAACGGAGAAGATCTTGTCTCTATGTTTACAAAATAAAACACAGGATCATGCTGTGATTGGCTACAGCCAACAAGCAGGGTCCCAGCCAAAATCATTGGCTGGGACCTGCTGACAAACTTGTGCTGTAGCGAATCACAGTACAGATCAGCGGGGGGAGTGTGCACATGCGGATCCCAAACCCAGAAGTTTGGTCGTAACATACCAGTACATTGTGTGGCCTCCCCGTGCTACTCGCCTGCAGTAAAAGTACTGTGGCAGACAGCACGTAGTTAAGCATCAAATAAATATTTTTCAACACAAAATGCCTTCCTACTTGCTGCCATCATCCTTTTCTTATTAAAAACTATATAATCTCTCCGGCCACTTTATTCGATACCCCAGTTCAATTGCTTGGTAACACAAATTGCTAATCAGCCAGTCACAAGGCAACAACGCAATGCATTTAGGCATCTAGCCGTGGTGAAGATGACTTGCTGAAGTTCAAACTGAGCATCAGGGGCTTTAAAAAGACTTTGAATGTGGCATGGTTGTTGGTGCCAGACAGACTGGTTTGAGTATTTCAAAAACTGCTGATCTACTGGGATTTTAACTCACAACCATCTCTAGGGTTTAAAGAAAATGGTCCAAAAAAAGAGAAAATATCCAGTGAGCGGCAGTAGTTTGGCCGAAAATGCCTTGTCAATGTCAGAGGAGAATGGGCAGACTGGCTCAAGATGATAGACAGACAACAGTAACTCAAATAACCACTTGTTACAACCAAGGTATGCAGAATACCATCTCTGAATGCATAACATTCTGGACCTTGAAGAAGATGGGCTACAGCAGCAGGAGACCATACCGGGGCACCACCCCTGTCAGCTAAGAACAGGAAAATGAGACTACAATTCGCACAGGCTCACCAAAACTGGACAATAGAAGATTGGAAAAAACATTGCCTGGTCTGAGATGTCTTGATTTCAGCTGCAACATTCAGATGGTAAGGGTCAAAATTTGGTGTGAACAACATCAAAGCATGGATCCATTGTGCCTTGTATCAATGGTTCATGAATGTGCAGCTGACAAATCTGCCGCAACTGCATGAAGCCATCATGTCAATATAGACCAAAATCTCTAAGTAATGTTTCCAACACCTTTTTGAATCTATGCCATGAAGAATTAAGGCAGTTCTGTAGGCAAAAGCGGATTCCAACACGGTACTAGCAAGGTGTACCTAATAAAGTGGCCAGTGAGTGTATATTTCTATACATGTACATTAACACTTGGCAAGGCCAAAGCAGCACATTTTATGAGCAACCAGAACAATCTGAGCTCACCACAAAGTACAGTGTCTTCATCTTCATGTGTTATCTCCTTCACAACCATGTCTCCATCATCCAGGAGGTCATCGAGGGTAGCTGGCTCATCCGCTGTCTGCCCTATATCCATTAATGAAATAATAATATTAAGCATCAAATGGAGCGAATGTAAATACCTTTCGACACAAAATTCTTTTTGCCATGTCTTCTCATTTAGTTATAATAATGTTTACATTTTTAGCATTCAACCTTTTTTTTTACATACAAAATTCTCAAAAGAGAATAAATATTAGGTATTTGGTCACATTTCGCTTCCGAAAAGAGTCACTATTGCACTAACTTACAAAAATATACAGTATAGTTTCAACCCCTTTTATAGATGCACCATCGTATTCCACGTTACAAATGAGAGGATGAAAAAGTACCAAATAACCCATTTTGAGAATTGTAAGTATTTCGCTATATAGAAGAAAAGGAAATTAGAGGAAAAGATGGGAAACGATTGGGAGAAGAAGAAGTATAGACAATGGACAGTGGAAATGGTATCCTAGGGGCAACATGAGTCCACTGATAAATCATATAAATGGGTTCCACATTTTATCAAATTTGATTTGGGTGTTGATTTTAGAATACACGTGAGTCTATCATTATTTTAATCCAGTTTAATTTATGTTTGACATAGTAAGTAGACACAACCATCTGTTTCCAACTCCTTGCAATTGTGATTCTAGCAGCTAGGATTATATATCACACTAATCTTTTTAGGTGTTTATGAAGTTCACAGTCCATTTTCTGAAACATTGCTACTTCTGCGGACCTAGAGATATTCACCATGAATTCACAAATTAAGTTGAAGATTCTGATCCAGAATCTATTTACTTTATGACATTGTCACCATATGTGTAACATGGTACCTACTTGGGCACAGTTTCTAAATCATTAAGATTTGTAGACACACTGGTAGGGACCGTGTAGCTGCTCTGGTAGGGACCGTGGACCAACTTAGTGGCTTTTATCAGTAGATTCCACAAGAGTTGTACGTATTTATAGATATCTTAGATAAACTATATACTATTTTTTGCCACTCGATGTCTAAGAAGCCTACATTCAAGTCTTGTTTCCATTGTTTCACATATGGGAGTTTATGACTTGGTTTATTTAAAACATTGTACATTATTGAAATATGACCTCTCGTGGAATTCCTAATTTTGGAAAATAATTCAAATAGTGTTGAAGTTAAAGAACAGGTGGTATGTTTTAATTTAGTTTTAAGGTAAAATGTGAGTTAATTACAATGAAACATTTAACATAGAGCCACAGTCCTGGTCTACAACTTGTTCAAGTTTGGTTGCAAATGCAGTAAATGCATCGCTACCAGGGGCGGACTGACAGCTCATGGGGCCCCCAGGCAATAGGGGATCATGGGGCCCCTGTGTCCTTGCCCAAACTCAAAAAAGCATATGAAAAAGGTACCAGGGGCATCTCATGGGGCCCCCTACTGACCCCGGGCCCTCGGGCAGTGCCCGAGTTTCCAAATGGTCAGTCCGCCCGATTGCTACCCTAATGCAATTCAGAGATGCCTTTGGGCAGTCATATCAGGACATATTTATATTCCTAAGCCAGAAAATGACAAACAGGTGACTGGATGTCATAGGTAACACCACACTTTTTACATCTTTTAATGTTGTGGGTTTTTAAGAAAAACCTTATAATAGTTAGTGCTACCTAAACTACACAGCTGCAATAATCAAAAAAGTGAAAGCACAGGAAAGGATTGATTTATTTAATTCTACAAAAATTAAACCATACCTGATTTTCTAAGGTCTCCATCCACTCTACTCAAATATTTCTGTGTATGTTACAAAAAAAGCAAGATTAATACACTTATCATATACTAATAAATTGGTATGGACCAAATTTGAGATATATGACCACAGTTTGTCTTACTTGTTGGGAAATGATATGGTGTTCTGAAGTTTGCTCAGAGGTTGCACCACCTGCATGTGAAAAAATAATGATAACTCTGATGGAAAGCCATGGGGCAAGCTAATGTCCAGTGCATTTCTTGAGGTAAATAAAAGGTGATAATACAACAAAATGACTTTAAAAAAACATTACCACAACATATGGCAATGGAAGAGCAGGAGATTTAGAAAAAAAGACTGCAGACACAGTATATATTAATGAATACATATATATACAGTGGGTAAAAAGTATTGAACACGTCACAATTGTTCTAGGTAAGTATATTTCTAAAGATTCTATTGGCATGAAATTTTCACCTCGAGTCGGTAACAATCCATGCAATCTATACATACAAAGAAACCAAAACAAATAAGCTCATAAACTAAGTTATGTGTAATAAAATGGAATGACACGGGGAAAAAGTATTGAGCACATGAAGAAAGGGAGGTGCAAAAAGGCATGGAAAGCCAAGACACCAGCTGAAATGTATCAGTAAATTAAAAAGCAATCCTGCCCCTTGTCAGTGCAAATTAATATCAGCTGGTTCAGTCTCAACTGATGACCTATAAAAAGGTGTCTCATTACCAAGGTGTCACACAAGAAATATCTCATGATGAGTAAAAAGCAAAGCGCTCTCTCAAGACTTTAGCAACCTTATTGTTGGAAAACATACTGATGGTATGTTTTGGGTGGAGCCGCCATTGCCAAAGGTCAGAGTGGTGGCCATCTTGGTACTCTTTTTATGCTTTTTGATTTTTGTCTCCATGTGGACACTTTTTAATGTTCTAATAAATACTACACTATATGCAACTTTATTGGCTCCTGTGGTGAGTTATTCCCTCTAGGACAAGGGCTGACTTCCCATCCGAGTGCCCAGGATGAAATTTGGTCCGGTTTTATATATTTCAGATTTTATATGTTTATTGTAACATCATTTACTACTGCATTTTATTCATGGATCACCACGGACATTATTGTATTTAGATTCTGCCCGTGATACACTATTGTTTGGCATTTGCTTTTTGAGCTGTTTAGCTGAAATTTTCATGCTTTTACTTGATGCACTTTACTATTTCACTTAGCTCATTACATTTATGATGCACTTTACCATATTGTTTGACTTTTAGATTTCGCATTTACTAATGGTTTTTGCACTTATGTGTTGCACTTTACCATTCCGCTATACTATATATATATATATATTTATATATATATATATTTTTTTTTTTTTAAGCGCTGCACTTTTTTACATATACTATTGTAGGGGATGGTTACTGTCACCTTGTGTGCTAGCTGCTCCCCAGATATCGCTAGTGCTCACCAATATATTGGATTCTGTTACATACTGATGGTTATGGTTACAGAAGGATTTCTAAACTTCTGAATGTTCCAGTGAGCACTGCTGGTGCCATAATCTGGAAGTGGAAAGAACATAATTTCACCATAAACCGGCTACAACCAGGTACCCTCGGAAGATTTCTGCCAGAAGAGTAAAAGAATTATCAGAAGAGTTGTCCAAGAGCCAAGGACCACTTGTGGAGAGCTTAAGAAAGACCTGGAATTAGAAGGTACAATTGTTTCAAAGAAAACAATTAACACACTCAACCCCCATGGCCTGTATGCACGCTCACCACGCAAGTCTCCATTGCTGAAGATAAAGCATGTTGAAGCTCGTTTAAAGTTTTGCTGCAAAACATTTGGACAAGCCTGTGAAATACTGGGAGAATATAGTCTGGTCAGATGAGACCAAAATTGAACTCTTTTGGATGTGATAATACACATCATGTTTGGAGGTCAAATGGCACTGCACACTGCCCCAAAAACACCATACCAACAGTGAAGTGAAGTGAGAACATCATGGCGTGGGACTGTTTTCAGCATACGGTACTGGCAAACCTCATACTTCTTGGCAGCATTGAGGGTCAGTACATCCTTTCCCCGATAAAAACTTGTATGTTTAGAATTACTCAATGCAAACCAACTGTGGATCTTTCTGTAAAAAAAAACTGTTTTCGTTTGGTGATCTTAGTCAGCTGGCTGGCCATATAGCCAAAAAAATGTGGTAATGTCTCAAAGAAAGATCCATAAGTCACACACCAAAGGCAGACCCATGTGCATAAGGCCGTGTTTAACCAGCCCGGACTCAAGCCAGGTCATGCCCCCACACAGAGCAGTCTTGTTTGGACTTTACCTCCCTATCTGAGTAGCACCTAATCCTGTCTTTTGTGGTCACAAAAAAATGTGGTGTTTTTTTTCATTTAAAAGAGATGGGTCTATAAGGCTGGCTTCACACTGTTGCACTGCAAGTGATTTCATAGAGTCCTATGAGGCAGATTTCAGAATGATTGTTAATACAAATGGGCAATGATTAGACAATCTACTAGGTGCAACTTGACCATTTGCTCCATACGAGAGGTACAATTTGTTTCCCTGAATAGCGTCATATATGGAATAAGTATAAATACTGACAGAATCCTGCACCTTCCAAGTACCCATAGCGCCCAATTCACAAGTATACTTTGCAAGGGTCATCAGACTATACTGATTTCCCTGGTGAATGATACATTTATCTATCGGCGGTTCTTTACATTACTAGTATCCACAATCAATACTGTTGGAAACAAATTCCTAGCATCCTAATCTATAATCCTCTCCCCCAAACAAGCAGCTGCATAAATATCCTATTCAGATTAAAACATAACACAAAAAAATACAGCACTCACAGCAAGAATAAATTAAATGCATAACCCCTTCACTACATGTAAATAAATAAAATGCATATCAAATGAATAAAACAACACATACAGTATATCACAGTGATAAAACCACACTTTCATTCATTCAGCCTGGGTTCTATCAAATGCGTTTTGAAGCACACTGATTTGCATGACAGGGCAGAGAACATGTGTTCCTATGTTGGTGGTTCACATAGATGCGATACTAAAGCAGTGCGTTTTCAGTGCGGATCCAAAAAAGCGCCTCTGAGAGTTTTCAGTGTTGCAGTTGCATGGCATAGTGCAAAAATGTTTTATACCTTTTATTTCTCTCTTTAACCTCTTAGGGCCAGGAGGCGCCGGCATCAAGGGGTTAAACCACTTGCCCTCCAGAAGGTTTTACCCTCTTTATGACTAGGGCACTTTTTTTTGCTATTCAGCACTGCGCTACTTTAACTGGCAAACGCGTAGTCATGCAACACTGTACCCAAATTAAATTTATATGATTTTTTTTTCACACAGCTTTCTTTTGGTGGTATTTGATCACCACTGAGTTTTTTATTGCAAAAAAAAAAAACAAAAACACAATAAATAAACCATACCTGAATTTTCTAGGTTTTCTTCCACATCACCCAAATAATTCTGAGTCTGTTACAAAGAAAGTAAGCTTAGTGCACCTGATAAGACAGTGTAGATCAGTCTCGAGATGTATTACAGTACAGAACAAAAATTGCCTTACTTGCTGGGAAATGATACTGTGTTCTGGAGATTGTTCAGAGACCAAGTCAACTGCATATGTAAAAATAACAATAGTTTCATTATTCTGGTAACCGAGGGAGGAAGGCGAGAACATTCAGTAAGCTCCTCTCTGCTATTTCGTAAAGCCAAATACATACCAACCAATCAGAATTATTGTTTCATATATTCAAATATAATGACCTGAGATCTAATCATTACAGGTTACTCTATTTGCTGCATCTCATCTTTGTTTCTTCTGAAAATTTACAAACTCTCAATGAACCTTAAAGTCTAAATCAGCTAAATACATCCCAGGTGCAGAAAAAATAAAGTGTTCAAAGTCTTGTGATTTGCTTTCTTTACAAAGCAGCACCAGCTTGAGTAGAAAATCCTGCCGCCTGTCAGCATGCTGCAGAGTGGGACCCTTGATCTTTGTGTGGAAGGTCTGACACGTCACCTGCTGAGACAGAGCCAGAGCTCACCAATAGCCGAAAGCATGAGCTTTGCTGATCAGCCGATTTGCTGCAGAGCTATAGAGCTGACTAAGTTGGGAGTGTGATGGACTTCTGCAGAGAGACCACTGCTTTCAAGCAGACATCAAGGGGCCCACTCTGCAGCTGTTGGCAGGAGCCAGGCTTCTATGCTCAGGCTGGGGCTGTTTTAGAAAGAAAACTGTAAGACACTGAACATATTTTGTTTTGGTGCACCTGGTATACATTTATCTGATTTGAACTGAAAGTTGACTTCAGCTTTAAATAAACTCAAACATGCAACATATTCTTGTGTAAACCACTGTTACACTGTTAGCAGTCTTTTGTGAAATTTATAAAATTAGGCAAACTGAGCATCATATTAGAACACTCATTCATGGCATGGAATTCACTAAGAAAACACAAATCTAGCATTACTAGCAATGATCAGACCACACAGAGGTAAGAGCACACTTTCACTTAGAGATTTCTGTGTAGGATTAAAGTGAGTTCCCTTTTACAGAAAAAAAGACCTACGTGTTCAGGAAAACTAACTTGCAGCATTTTAAGGAGATCCTGTCACCAACTTAAAAATTGCAGTTAAAAGCACAGAATTTGACTACTCCATGAAATGTCAAATCCTTAGCACAGCCACAGTTCCACCTCCTTGCATGTCTTAGCCCTCTCCTAGTCTGAGTGTCTAATTACTGTCTGTGCTGGCCTAGCTCCACCACCTCTAGTAATCAGGCAGATAAAAAGGGAATAATTATAGTGTTTTGAGTGACAGCTCTGAGTCTGCTTGGGATGCTGATATCACATCTAAGATGGCGATGGCCAGCAGTGTTTTAGGGCTTTGGCATGTCTGCACAAGGGAAGCTTTTACAGGTACATAGCATCTCCAGTATAAATTGCATTAAATGGGAAGACTGTTGTTGAAATCTACCTACAATGTCCCTTTAAGGATTATACTCATCACAAGAAGAATGGGTAGTCTGCAGCAGGCCCTCCTGGATACAGGACTACTTCTCCCTGACCCCCACGTGCTGGTTACACCTGTGCTGGTGTGAGATGTTTGGCTCCCATGCCCCAACTGTACTAGGGCTGCAACTGTCACTGTAGTCCAGAGGAGAGTGACTCTACTGTTATCAAGAGCTTTTGAACTGCATTTCCTAAAGATCTGAATTTTCTCAGGCTGTATAGGACACCGCTTCCTTTTACCATTAGGGCGACCAGATAGTGCACATCACTGTTGCATAACAGAGGCCTGAGTGGGATCCAGAGCACTGAGCTCGGGAGTGCAGATAGGCAGAGTCACCTGGGTGCAGAGCAGAGAGTGGACTAATTTCGGTGTCTGAACGGATAGGGAGCTGCAATATCGTGGGAACTGGTAAGCTGCTACTGTGGCGATTTACCATCTCTGCTGCAGGAGAGACTGATCCCTTTAGGAACTGACCATACTGCCATCTAATAGCCTTATTGCTGCCTGAAGGCTTGACTGGGACTATTCTCATGTGCACCAGCGGTACAGCTGGACCCCAACGCTAGCCGGCTGAAGAGTTAGGACTAAAGACTGTCCCTTTACAGTGGCTACACAGAGACCTTCACCTATTGCTAAGGAGATACCTCTCAGGGGACAGTGTACCATATCCCAGCCATTCTCCTAGACTGCACTCTAGACTAATTATATTATTCGCATTGCAGTTAATGTTAATATGCACAGTTTATTGTTTACTTTGCTGATTCATGAGTTAATCCCAGTCTACGGGTACAGAACTCTATTCTAAGTTACCTTGGCATAGTGATTATACTGTCTGGTTGATTGCGTCTGAACCTACCTTCTCTGTGTTCATTTATGCTCAAACAACCATTTAGTCTATCCCGTACCAATACATTGAGTTCATTTACCACAAAACGGTCTCATGTCTATTTCCTGGTGCTATTCACAGCCGAGTTAATGGTATTTATACTTGTGTTCTTATAAGTGCTTGTAGTAACTTTCATTCAATCAGGTGTGTGAGAGGTACTGAGATTGTTTTTGGAGTCAAGGCGCAGAATAGAGAACCCAAATTACTAAGCAGCCCCCGCGGGGGTAGCACTACAAACTATTTAAATGCTTTACTTTAGGTCTGTTTACACAAGCTATTGTTCTCTCTAGCACTTGGTTTACTATACACGTCTTAAGAGTACTTATTATTACACTATAAATACTGTACTTGAGGTCACTTGGGACATGTTATTATGTGTGATACATGCTCAGCTGTGTTCCAGGGTTTGTAACTTTTCATGGGTAAAGTGTATATTTCTGGGACCCTACAAAAGTAAAACGCTGAATGTCTAAATGTCAGCGAGAAAGAAGGGTGGATGAGTATGGCCTAGAGATCTTAAGTCTTCCATCCTCCCATAATGCAAGAAGGTTATGGTGGTAGGGAAACAAATGTCAGCAGCACAGCAAGTGAATTGGTAGCAGTAACACAATTCAACTATTTTCACCAATTCAGGACCATTTCTTCAAATTATCTCGACAATTGCATAATTCAACCATCTTTCCAGAAATTGTAAACTAGAAGGGTGTACATTAAATCTGAGTGGGTATCTGACAAGGTGGCTGGTTGGCGCCTTCACCTTTGCGCTTCCAGCCAGAAAGTCATCTGGGCAAGGAAGAGAGGGAGGGCTAGGAGTACCAGGTGGCACAATGAGTTCAATGTGTGATGTGACATCTCAGTGTCTAGGGTTAGTAAAGGGTGTCATTAAATCTATTGATGACTGGTCAGGACAGGATGAGAGCGCCATATCAGTGGAACAAGAACACTGGCTCAGTAATGGAATTGGGGGAAGGAGGATTCTAGGCCTGCCTGCTTCTGCTCTTGGTGTTCATTACTGATAGTACTGGTCATAAATATTTCCCTTTCTTCCATTACAGGCCTGTCTTGTTCACAGCATCATTGAAACCACAATTTAGTGAAATCTGCGATTTATTAGGGTGAATACTGTGACAGATCCAACCAGGACAGGGGCTTCTGGAGGGGACTAGGGGCTAGCCTTCAGCCCACTGATTACGGCCCATGGAGAGAGCAGATCATTCTCTAATAATGGACAACAACATGATGAATGCTGATGGCGAGGCTTGGATTATTTCTCTGTAAAAAGACAACAAATCTTCCCTTCTGGAGTGGATGGAAAGATGTAATAATAATCTTGTACAGGTTAATGGTCGGAGGAAATATGGTGGCCCTCATGCGGACTGGGTTGGAGAAACTCCTCTATTTGGGACAGAAATATTTATCAACAATCTCCCTCAAGAAATCTATGAAGATAAACTAATTCCACTTTTCAGACTGTTGGAATATTGTACGAGTTTTTTCTTATGATGGACAGATTATACAAGTGAAAGCAAAAACCTTAAAGACAGCATGTGTAATGGACTTTGTGTATTCAGGGGTGAGTATGTTGTCAGTCCGTCTGCGGTGGGCTCCCTGATTAATCAAAGCATTGTCTAGGTGCCTGGCAGTTGATTGGCTTACTGTTAAATTAGATCACTGTTAGCTGTTGGCTGTATTGTTTTACATTTGCACGGTTTAGGATAATGTGTGTGGGATATTTATAATGTGTATTATTTGTTTCATTGTTCATGTGGGGGCACTGCCCTATTTCTGCAGTATATAAAAACTATTTCTGTTCAATAAAGTAGTTTCAGTTTGGCATCTACGCTAGTCTCGTCTAGTCTTGGGTGCAATGCCTCTTATCTAGTCTTGGCTATAATACCTTGGTCCTGTGTCCCAGTGGTGAGGAATCGATTCTCTGATGAATTCACTCGATCGGGTGACAGGCGTTCTGTCACAAATACTATCTAGTGATGCAAGTTCTGGATCCAATTTGAGGTGAAGCTAAATTTTCAGCTTTGCAAATTTGCAGCTTATTTCACTTATCTTTACTTACCGACTTTGCTTTGTAATGTGCTCAGCGATTTCCCATTGCTTGGAAGCTATAAAAAATAAAGACATATATTCACAATCATTCTGAAAATACATCAAGTGCAAGTGTTGCTGTTTTAGTGTGAGCAGTCTGATCAATTACCACTTTATCAATTGTATTTGTTCAAATTATGAAAAGTGATGCATTTATGAATGATGGTAAACCTACACAATATCAGGTTGCATGCACCCAATGTTTAGTTTCTGCCATTCAGTTGCACTGGATCAGTGGATGATAGCAAGTGAGAGCAACTTCCTTTCCTTTACAGGAGAAACAGAGCAGCAGAGCTCCTGCTTCTGTCAGTCAAACTCATGTGAGGAGGCAGTGGAGTTGCTGCTTACAGGCACACAGCCTGGCTCTGAAGCACACACCCTTGGACCTGGCTTGCTACAAGAGGCACCCAGAAGAGGGAGAAGCAGACAGTGCAAGCGGAGAACTGCCAGAATAGGAGGAAAGCGACCTATCTGTGCAATATTCGTGCACAGAGCAGGTAATATGACCCTTTCATATGTAAATAGAATTGTAGCCCTTCGTATCACTTTAAGACAGAATGGGACCATAGGCAAGGCAGCAGGTTTGACCTCCTCCCCACCTTCCATACATAAGTTCACAATTGCACTATTCCTCTGGTCAGGGCTGCTGTTAAAAACCACAGGGCCCCATGCTGCCAACCTGACAGGGCCACTCCGCCAAAAAACAGTTTACTAGGCTTCAGTTAAGAATGAACACAGCGAGTGATCGGTACTGATTGCTCACTGTGTTCATTCAGGACAGGAAGGGGCTGGTAAATGGGAAATATTTACTGGAACCTTCCCCCACTCTCCATCCCGAAGGATCCTACTGTCCTAGTGCCTGTAGCTGCTGGTGGAAAGGAAAGAAGGGAAGTAGACAGCATTGTGGGGGGTGGAGGCACACAGGGGGACCTGGGCAGCAGGGGGAAACATATGGTGCACAAGGAGGGTGATTTGGGGCAATTACTGGAACCAATCCCCTGTATGGCTCTCTCTGCAGCAGCTGAAAAATGATGGGATGAAGAGAAGTCAGCTTTCAGCTGCTGCAGAAAGAACCATAGAGGGGATCAGTTCCAGTAATCGCCCCTTCACTGTTCCGATCACCCTCCCTGCTTACATCTGATTCACCCAGCTGGCTGGACCCACTACAGTAGGACTGGTACCCCGATTCCCAGCCCTGCCTCTAGTTTATTTTAGTGATATGAAGGTTGCATATGGCCCCTTGGACATACACTGTCTTGTGGATGATCCAGCTCTGAGAATGAGAGAAACCTAAATAGATCATTTTCTAAGTTATAATATCATGTGCATTCAATCTGAAAATATTTAATTTACAAAGACCAACTGCTGCCAAAACTTGATTTTGTTTAGGATAGGGGTTGAAGGGTTAAAGCCTCTGTCAGGTTTTTCTGCTGGTGGTGTCTCTATTGGGAAGATTTCCCCTCCCTTTGTGTCAGAACAAGAAATTACAGGAAGTGATGGGGGAGAAAAAAACCCACGTTTGAGTGAAAAAAAGAGAACTTTGGAAAATGATTTATTGCTGTCTGTGCTGTGCTAACCTGGTGAAAACTTCTCACCCATTTCTTTCACATATGTCCAAGATACAGGAAAAGGAAAAACTAAATATAAAATAGGACAAATATTTAAATGCCAACTCTTTCTAAAGCTAAGAAATGGCTAAAATTAAAGTACTCTGGTACTTTAGGGGCCTATTCACACTTATGCATTGTGGCAACATGCTAATAATGCCTGCATTACTATTTTGCCTTGTGGTGCTAAGCGTTGTGTGTTTTTTGATCCACTGTGGCATGTTTGCAACCTATTCATGATGAATAGGCTATCTTAACACAACTCACAGTAATGCCCAAGTATTTTGCATTAATACATTGCAGCAGATGGCTAGCGTATGAAAGGGCTATCAAAGACTTTTGCGCTGATATATAGTATCAGTTACAGATAGCGGGGGGGGGGGGGGCAACGTTTAACAGTTTGTTTAAGCCCTGGTTCACACTGGGTGCAACTTGGCGTGCGATTTGCATGCCCTGCGACTTGCAAATTGCATGCCAAGTCGCACCCTATTGTGCGTAATTGCAGTGGTCATATCAGTGCGGTTCCGATTTGGTCGTAGCCGCACCAATTTCAAAATTAGTACATACAAGACTTTTGGTGCGATTTGCATAGACACCTGTATCAGATGTCTTGCAGATCGCACCTGAAATCGGCGGGTCCCCCGACTTTGAAATCATGCGACTTGACTGTAAGTCGCACGATTTCAAAGTCGGGATTGATGTGAATGGAGGGTAAGCCTCTGTGTTCCACCGGACATTAGGGGCCATGTACACTGGGCATAAAAAAAAATGTTTTAGCTGCTGCTTTTACAGGCATCTGGCTTTTTTTTCAGCCTGTATAAGCAACTCTATCTTAGCCTATGTGTCCATGCACATTGGAGCATTTAGAGGCATATTATCAAAGGAGTGTTTTCAGCTGGAAAAAAAAACACCACAAGTACCTTTTTGAGAGAAACTTTTGGGTAGAAAAAAACACTTGAAGCTCATAAACACGGCATTTAAAAGTGTTTGGCGTTTTCAAGCGTACACTGAAAAATCAGCAGAGGGGAATGTTTTGGAAAAAAATGCTTATACAAGCAAATACTTAGAAATGTCCATAAACACGTGTGCAATAAAAGCCATTACAAGCATTTTTTTATGTCGCTTTTTCTGAGGTTCTGGAATTTTTATTGACCCTAGTATGCATGGACCTTAACAGGAGACATGATAAGGCCATAAGTACTTGGTGGTGCCGCTCCAGGCTGAGGTGTTGAGCCGCATTGGCACTCAGGATACCAGCAAAAGAAAAACTCATCCAAGGAGCAATAAACATTTTAGCTTGAAACCACTGCTGGCCTTAGCCGATCCTAGTATGGATGTGTACATATAAAAGCCTCAATCAATGGCGCTCCTTGGGCCATGGCCCCTGACATGTTTCACCCCACCCACCAGGGACTTATTCATGGTGCGTGGGGCAAAACAAGTCAGGGGGCATGGCCCAAGGAATGGAATTGACTGAGGCTTTCACATGTATACATCCATATTAAGATCGTCTAAGGCAAGCAGTGGTTTTAAGCAGAGAGAGACATAACCTAACTAAATGCTGGCAATGCAAGTTGGGAAAAATGGCAATTTTTAATATTACAATGATATTCAAAGGTTCTCATAGTGCTTTACAAATGACCAAAGTTTGGGAAAATTTTGATTGAAGCATATATTATTCATTTTATCTGTAGCCAAAATTATATATTTAACTCAGTAACTGGATACGTACCTGTACATTAATCTTTTTGAAACTTTGTAAAAAATATCCTAAAATAAATGAAGACACAAACACCAAAATGAGAAATACACTTATAGCAAATGCATTGCAAGAAAACAAACACAGCAACAGTAAAATAGAGGGAAGAGGGTAGCACAAAATAACAATTGTTACAAGGCATTAAATAGACCATTCATCAATTTTTAACCTTGATAGGATGCAAGCTTATAAATCAATATGCTCTCTGGGCATGCAAGTTATATTTTAGCAGCTTATTATTATACAGGATTTATATAGTGCCAACAGTTTTCTCAGAGCTTTACGATATAAAAGGAGATAATACAGCAATGAAACAGTTCAATACAAGAGGGTTAGGGGGGCCCTGCTCCTTGGAACTTACAATCTAAGAGGGAGGGGCTGACAGTACAAAAGATAATAACTGTGGGGGATGAACTGATAGGAGAAATAAAAGATTCCATTATTAGCTGAAGGCAGGATAGGCTTCCCTGAAGAGATAGCTTTTCTGAGATCACCTAAACATGGGCAGAGTAGGCAATAGTCTGATAGATTGGGGTAGAGAGTTCCAGGGGATGGGGGAGGCTCTGGAAAAGTCCTGGAGATGAGTATGCAAGGAGGAGACAAGGGAGTTAGAGAGCAGGAGGTCATGGAAGGAGCGGAGAGGACGGTTTGGGTTATGTTTGGAGACAAGATTGGTGATGTAATTTGGGTCAGAGTTACAAATGGCTTTATATGTTATTGTTAATGTTTTAAATTTTATTCGTTGGGCAATGGGAAGCCAGTGGAGGGATTGGCAGAGAGGGGTGGCAGATATGGAACAATTCGTAAGGTGGATGAGTCTGGCAGCAGCATTCATGATAGGCTGAAGAGGGGATAGCCTGCGATTAGGTAGGCCAGTGAGGAGGGAGTTACAATAGTCAAGGCGAGAGATAACCAGGGAGTGAATAAGTTGCTTAGTAGTTTCAGAGGTTAAGAACGGCCGTATCTTGGAGATGTTGCGGAGATGAAGTCTACAAGATTTGGACAGTGATTGGATTTGGAGCTGAAAGGACAGATGGGAGTCCAGGATTACACCTAGTACCGTGACATGAGGGGAGGGACTGATGGATGTATTATTGATCTTGATGGAGAGGAACGGGGAGGGGACACGGGCTGGAGGGCATAGTATGAGCTCAGTTTTAGTTTGAGGAAGTGGAAGTGAGGAAGCAGCTTGATCATAAGTAATCGTCCATCCTCTAGCTTAAGTCCATGGCATATGTAAAATATAACTAAAGGCAAAACTATCATTTTTTAGTTCTGGATAGAGTGGAAAGGCATAAAAAACCCCTGTCAGGTATTTATTGCAGTTTTGCGTTTCTGTTACGGAAATCCACCCCCCACTCCCCACCCCCATCTGTCCAGTTTACTGTTATCAACGAAAATGAAAGAAAATCCCAAATTTTGGGTGGTCATCAAAAAACAAATAGAGGAGAAATTTTTCACTGGCGACATCATTCTGGTAACCCTGCTGAAGACTAGGGATTCCTTTCACTTTTCCTCTAACTTCCCGTTTTGGCTATGGAACAGGAAGTGAAAGGAAATCCCCCCAAAAAGACTGCAAAGGGGAAAAAAAGCTGACGGAGATTTAACCCTTCCTTACTCTATCCAAAATGAAAAAAAAGCTTTGCCTGTAGTTTTTCTTTAAGCCCTGGTTCACACCATTACGACATAGAAATCACGCCACTTCAGCATGTTTTCAAAGCCACAGATCAGTGTAATTTGCGACTTTGTTTAACAGAAGTCTATGTAAGTCGCAATGAAATCAGAAAAAAGTAATGCAGGAACCTTTTTCAAAGTCGCTGTGACATGAGTCGTGGCAATTTCAACAGTTCCATTTCCTGCAATGGGGTGTGACTTGTCATGCGATTTGGAATTGTCAAATCGCACGACAAATCGCACCGGGGTGAACGAGAGCTTAAGCATATGTCAGGGCAAAATAAAAAAGAAAACATTTAATACATCTCTGCAAAAAATGCACATTTCCCCATTTGTTATCTCTTTGAAAATGCTAAATGTACAAAAAACACCTAATAATATGCCAGAAACCCAGTAAGCTCCTAATTTCCATGTTCACTCTGCCTCTACTGCATTGAAAATCCAAGCAGTTTTATCAGTTTTGTCCTGTCATCTACAGAACACCTTCATCTTATGTTACGGCGGTGAGAAGAGAGGAAGGTGTTGGAGTACAAGAGAAGTAAATAGAGCTGATAACACTGTTTGCACTGTGACACAGAGGCACTAGGGGTACTTTACTAAAACTGCATGGTGCAAAATCTAGTGCAGCTTTGCACAGAAACCAATCAGCTTCCATGTTTTATCGTCAAAGTTTAATTGAACAAGCTGAAGTTAGAAACTGATTGACTACCATGCACAGCTGCACCAGATTCTGAGTGCTCCAGTTTTAAAGTGTTACTAAACCCAGGACCCTGCATTCACTATCTGGTCTCCCACAGTACACACAACATGGGAATTAAATTATTTTAGTAAATATAAACTGCTAAATACATTTTCTCATCAGCAGTTAGAGCAGTCTTGTGATTTCTATCAGTGTCCAGCAGAGCACTGGTTAAAGCTTGTAGGAGGATGCAGAACCCCTGACCTCTGTCTGAACAGTGCTGACTGGCCCTGTGCTGATCATATGCACTTTCCCAAGAAAAAAAAAACCTCTCTAGCAATACACACCAAATTGAACATGTTTAGAGTGACTCCACACGATATGTCTTATCAGGAGATAAGAGGGGGACACGGAAAGAAGGGGAGGATGAGAGAAGTCAGGATCAAACAGCATTTTTACACAATGTGGAGCATTAACCCCCTAGGTTCCACAGTGAGTATAACAAGCATGCTTTACTACATATACAGACCGATTTTACTGTTGTGGGTTTAGTAACACTTTAATAGATCTCCCCCACTGTGTTGTCAGCTTACTACAATAAATTAGGAGCACATTTGATTTCTAGAAGGTATACAAGTATTTTTCAGTACTTCTGTATTTAAAGAGTCAAATCATCAGCAAATGTTCCTAGACCTAAACTAAGTTATAGACTTATTACACAAGATAGAACATACAGCATACCTTGCTTTAGCTGATATGACAATGCTTTTAAGTGCAGTAGACTGGGACGACAAGTTGCCTTCTCTACCTCAGATGTTGTACCACCTTTGACACCAGGGGATGTTAGTGGAGCTTCTTCCCTGGAAGTCAGTGCTTCTTTGATCAATAATTCCTTTACATGGAAGGTCTCCTTTGCTCTAGGGGAGCTGGATGCCATTTCTGTGCATTTATTATCGACACGGGAAGAGCATGAAGGCTGCACAATCGACAAATCAGTTCCAGTAGTAATAGCTGAGACATGACCTACTGATTTAATTTGTCTCTGGGGGACCGTTGCTGTCTGGTCTACAGGAACATCCATAGCATGAGAGTTTACAGCATGCACCAAAACTGTTGTGGGAACAGGAGTCCCTTTGTGTTGTTCACCTGATGTCTTGCTAACACTTGGAGAGCTCAGAGGCTCCTTATCTAACAGTATGTCAGTATTCGCAAAGCATAAGGTTTTGCTGGGGGCATGTCTAGAAACATTATGGGCTGCATGTTTCTTCATGGTTTTTCCTAAGTTGGCCAGCAGTAGATCCTTATCTTTGTTATGCTGCTCATTTGATACATTGTTCATATTTAGAGACCTCATAGGCTGCTGTTTATCTGATGCCTTGTTTGTACTGCTGGAGCTCCAAACCTGGTCATCTAAAGGTTTTGTAGGATTGTGAGAGACCGCACTCATGGACACTAACTTATTATTACCATTATATATGTCCTTAGGTTCTGCTCTTGCATTGTTTTCACCATCTGAAGGTGTCAATGTTTCACCACTAATGGAAGCTAACCTTTCACTGCTTTTAGCAACATTTACTGGGTGGAATATAGTACCTTGAAGAATATTGGTACTTTTTACTTTGTTTGTAATGTTAATAAATTGTCCAGATTGAGCACTCGTTACTGCAGGAGAATGTCTAAGAAGATTTGACAATGTTTTTATGTGCAATAGACTGGGATGACAAGTTGCATTCTGTACCTCTGAAGCTTTACTAGTTTTGACACCAGGGAATGTTGGCAGGACTTCCCTGGAAGCAGGAGCTTCTTTCACCAGTGATTCCATTACAAGGAAGGCCTCGTTTGCTCTAGTGGAGCTGGCTGCCATTTCTGTGCATTTATTATTGACAAGGGGATAGCATGAAGGCTGCACAATCGACAAATTGGTTCCAGTAGCAATGGCCGAGAGATGAGCTACTGATTGAGGTTTTCTCCTATCGACCGCTGCTGTCTGGTCTACAGGAACATCCGAACAGTGAGCGCTTACCGAGTGCACCAAAGTTTTGTTTGTAATGTTAATAAATTGTGCAGATGGAGAACTTTTTACTACATGACTGGAGCTGGCAGACAGGTCTGGATTATGTGTTGACACTGAAGACTCTAATGCAGCAATTTTAGGATTATTTTCATCTGATGTTGCATATGTACCAGTATGTTGATTCTGTAAAAAATGTAAATGTTGGTTATAACCCACAGACAAAACAAATCTTACCAGTTTATATAATTTATTTTGATAGGAAGCCACAGCATACCTTCCAAGGTTGAGATGGGAAAACGGGAAGCCTTTATGTAGGCAAAGGACACAACCCTGCCACACTTAAATTACATGAACACTTACTGGTAAAAAAGTACTTTAACCAATCACTTTCCTGTGTATTGATATTCTTTTACTTCCACTAGCTTTTGAAATTTGCAAATGCAACCATTCAAAATGTAATGGAAATTTTAGCACTGTTTGGTATATAAATGGTGCGTTTTTATACAGGTACAGTATATACTGTTTACTTTTTGCTCCTCATTTGTTCCCTATTTTGGTCTACTGTACAGTTCCTTGAAATAGTATTCATACCCCTTGAAATTTTCCATATTTTGACATGTTACAACCAAAAACATAAATGTATTTTATTGGGATTTTATGTGATAGACCAACACAAAGTGGCACATAATTGTGAAGTGGAATGAAAACAATAAATGGTTTTCAAACTTTTTTACAAACAAATATCTGAAAAGTGTGGCATGCATTTGTATTCAGCCCCTTTACTCTGATATACAGGTGAAACTCGAAAAATTAGAATATCATGCAAAAGTTCATTTATTTCAGTAATGCAACTTAAAAGGTGAAAACTAATATATGAGATAGACTCATTACATGCAAAGCAAGATAGTTCAAGCCATGATTTGTCATAATTGTGATGATTATGGCATACAGCTCATGAAAACCCCAAATCCACAATCTCAGAAAATTAGACTATTACATGCAATCAATAAAACAAGGATTGTACATAGAAAAATAACGGACCTCTGAAAAGTATAAGTATGCATATGTACTCAGTACTTGGTTTGGGCCTCTTTTGCAGGAAATATTGCCTCAATGTGGCGTGGCATGGAAGCTATCAGCCTGTGGCACTGTTGAGGTGTTATGGAAGACCAGGATGCTTCAATAGCTGCCTTCAGCTCTTCTGCATTGTTCGGTCTCATGTCTCATCTTTCTCTTGGCAATGCCCTATAGATTCTTTATGGGGTTCAGGTCAGGCAAGTTTGCTGGCCAATCAAGCACAGTAATCCCATGGTCATTGAACCAGGTTTTGGTGCTTTTGGCAGTGTGGGCAGGTGCCAAGTCCTGCTGGAAAATGAAGTCAGCATCCCCATAAAGCTCGTCTGCAGAAGGAAGCATGAAGTGCTCCAAAATCTCCTGGTAGATGCAGCGTTGACCCTGGACTTAATGAAGAACAGTGGACCAACACCAGCAGATGACATTGCTCCCCAAATCAACACAGACTGTGGAAACTTCACCCTGGATTTCAAGCATCTTGCAGTGTGTGCCTCTCCATTCTTCCTCCATACTCTGGGTCCTTGGTTTCCAAATGAGATGCAAAAGTTGCTCTCATCAGAAAAGAGGACTTTGGACCACTGAGCAACAGACCAGGTCTGTTTTTCTTTAGCCCAGGTAAGACGCTTCTGACGTTTATTGTTCAAGAGCTCTTGACAAGAGGAATACGACATTTGAAGCCCATGTCCAGGATCCGTCTATGTGTGGTGGATTTTGATGCACTGACTCCAGCCTCAGTCCACTCCTTGTGAAAGTCCCCAACACTTTTGAATGGCCTTTTCCTGACAATCCTCTCCAGGCTGCAGTCATATTTGTGACGGAAAACTAACACTGCACATCACCCTGAACACACCATCCCAACCAAGAAACATTGTGGTGGCAGCATAATGTTGTGGGGATGCTTTTCTTCAGCAGGGACAGGGAAGCTGGTCAAAGTTGATGGAAAGATGGAGGAATCCAAATACAGGGCAGTATTAGAAGAAAACCTGTTAGAGCCTGCAAAAGACTTGATACTGGGGTGGAGGTTCACCTTCCAACAGGACAACAACCCTAAACATACAGCCAGAGCTACAATAGAATGGTTTACATCAAAGCATATTAATTTGTTAGAACTGCCCAGTCAAAGTCTAGACCTAAATCCAATTGAGAATCTGTGGCAAGACTTGAAAATTGCTGTTTACAGACTCTCCCCATCCAATCTGACAGAGCTTGAGCTATTTTGCAAAGAAGAATGGACAAAAAATTTACTCTCTAGATGTGCAAAGCTGGTTGAGACATCCCCAAAAAGACTTGCAGCTGTAACTGCAGTGAAAGGTGGTTCTACAAAGTATTGACTCAGGGGAGCTGAATGCAAATGCACGCCACACGTTTCACATATTTATTTTGTAAAAAAAATTGAAAACCATTTATCATTTTCCTTCCACTTCACAATTATGAGCCACTTTGTGTTAGTCTATCACATAAAATCCCAATAAAATACATTTACGTTTTTGGTTGTAACATGACAAGATGTGGAAAATTTCAAGGGTATGAATACTTTTTCAAGGCACTGTACATTAGACCAAAATAGGGAACAAATGAGGAGCAAACAGTTACAGGGGTACTTTGTTCCAAAAGAGGAACAGTCCCTAAAAATCAGGGATGGCTGGGAGCTATGGCTACAGTAGTAATTGCACCAGCAATTTACAGGTACATTGATGGGATAATTTGGGGTGGTTTGGAGAAATTATTTCCATTCATACTAGCGGGGTTACAGTTGGGGGAATCAATGGTGGAGAAGGATCTGGGAGTTCTGGCAGATCACAAGCCTAATGGCATGCAATGCCAAGCTGCGATTTCTAAAGCAAGCAAAACCCCTCTCTTGTATTAAAAGAGGTATAGTATCCAGAGAGAGAGATATCCTATTACCCCTGTACAAATCATTAGTAATGCCTCATCTGGAATATGCAGTTCAGTTTTGGGCGCCAATTCACAAAAAAAACATTGGAGAACTGGAGAAAGTACAGAGAAGGGCAACCAAACTGATAAGAGGAATGGGGGAGCTCAGCTTTTTTTTTTTTTTTTTTTAATTTAAATATTTATTAAATTTTTCATATTAATACAAAAACCCAAAAAGGGAAATAATTCTCATACAAGTAGACAATTATATAACATTTCTACCTTTCCCTTACTAAAAACTCTTTTCCTTCCCGTCCCACTACCCCCCCCTCCCGCCCCTCCTCCCCCCCTCTGCAGACTCTAGCCCTTTCTAATCTCTTGAGGCTTATTAATTTTTTTGCTAACATCCTAGTTCATATCTTCCTATATTTCTCTTTCAATCCTGCTCTTTCCCACTTTTCCCATCTCCTGGAATAAACTCTCATCCTATCTTCTTGCATATGGTATGATCTTTCCATTCTACCTATCTGGTTTACTCTATTAATCCAGTCTCTACCTCCTTCGGTACCTCAGCTTTCCGCCAAAACTTGGGTATCAACCCTTTCGCCGCATTCAAGAAGTACCAAATACCTGAATCTTTATATTTATTTACAGATGTCTCCACATTGTGTAGGAGGCACGTCGTTGGGTCTAACCCTATGTCAATTCCAGTTATTTCTTCAATTAATTTAACTATTATCTTCCAAAAAGCCTGGATTTTCGGACATTCCCACCATATGTGAAACACCGTGCCTATCTCTCCACATCCTCTCCAACACATATTTGAGTTTTCCCCATTCATCTTGTGCTCTACACTCGGTGTAATGTGCCATCGTGTCACACACTTATAATTAACCTCAACCTCTCTCATACTAACATTATCGTGTATCAATCTAAACATCTTTCTCTGTCTATCTTCATCAAACCCAACTCCCATATCCCTTTCCCATTTTGTCATAAAAATTAACTTTGTGTTTGTGTCTAATTCTGTGAGTATTCTATACACTTTTGAGATACCGTGCTTCCCATCCCTTCGTGTCTCTAACAACCTTTCAAACATATTCCACTCCCGTTTTATTCTCAGGGGTTTCGGTAGATTTCCAATAAAACTTTTCAATTGATGATATTTCCACTCATCTATTCTAATAAAAATATCTCCCTTCTTCTCTATTAACTCTTTAAGTGATCTCAATTCTCCCCCACCAAAACATCTCTCAATTGGGTATCCTCCTTTCTAAACCATCTCCCTGATATCTTATTCTTTCCCGGGGGGGAAGTACTCAGTATTTGTGAGAGGCATTAATATAGAATTAAATTCCCATTTCATGTTTTTGTGTAAATTGTCCCATACCCTAAAGACATTTAAAGTGTAGATACTTGTGCTTTCTTTAATTCCCCTGAACTGTGGTGGAACCCATATCATCTGACTCAATCTATTACCACTAAGATCATTTTCAATTGTTACCCAACTTTTCCCCTTATGGTTAAATGTCCAGTCATAT